CTAGGGGGAACCCCAGAGCCCGCACCTTGACCCAGCCACGTACGAAGCAGGAGGTATAGCCTCCCCTGGGGCAGAGTCGGGGTCCTGAGGCCCCAGCTGAGATGGGAAGGGGGCTCCAGCTTCTCTTAGGAGAGGGCAGGAAAGGGAGGGGCCTGAAGGCACCAGCGGCAGGTTCCAGCTCAGTATCACTTTCTCTGGTCCACCTCTGGTCCTCCTCTGGGTGGGTTTGCGAGGAATGAATGCACTCCAAGCTTCTCTTGGCATGGAGCCTGGCCCCGGAAGAATTGCTGGGGCTGAAAGACAGCACTGGAGAAGAAGCCAAGCTCCCCTTCCATTCACCGCCCCCCCTCCCCACCGTAAAGGCCTACTTTCCTATGGCTCCTTTGGGTCTCCCTTCAGTCTCTTTCCAGGGTCAGGGAAGAGGGCTAAGCCTATACACACTAACTCTGCTGAGGGGGGAAGGGTGGGGAACCAGCAAGGAATGGACTTGCCTGAAGATGGGGCAACCTGTGGGGGCATTGAACCCTGGAGTCCTGGTGTCCAGCCCCACTCCAAAGCTTCTAGGTGGCTAGTGGTCCTACAATGAAAGGTCTGAAGTCCTCTGGGAGAGTCCCTTCCCTTGCATGGTAGCCTCTGGCCAGAAGGCACTCCCAGCCCCAGAATGGGGATTCCGTTTCTAAAAGGAAGCAGTGTGCCCTTCCTCTCCCATCCTGGAGTCATCCCAGAGCCTCTGTCCATCCTGCTGGTCACAGGGGTTTCCGAATTCTTCTCCAGCCTCAACTCCTCCTCCTCAATTCTCCTCCTTCTCCTCTGAATGCATTGACCCCTCCCATTGTCCCTTTCCTCTCTCCCCAGTCCATCAAGTGATCCAGCCTGTCACTGACTCCCTTGCCTGTGGGTTCTCCCATCAACCCTGCCCGGGAAAACCCTATAACCATCTTGCTTTTCGGCATGTTGGGGCTACTGCAGACAGGATTTCCACTCTCCACTGGACTCTGACCAGGCCCAACAGGGCCGTTTCCCCTGTGCTGCTCCTGCCTCCTCTCCTCAGTGGCATGTCACAGCTTCTGCAATCTCTGCTCCAGGAGGATCTCCCTGATACTTTTTGGAGAAAAGAGAAGCCTTCACCTGGGAGCTCTCATTTCCAGGCTGCAAACCTCCATCCCCTTCCCCCAAGCCTACCGCAGCTCTCACTGCCTGGTACCACGGGAAGAGGTACCCCCTCCTCAGGATGGAAAGGCCCTAAGCTCTAAATGCCCTTGTCCTTCCTGGAATCATCAGCCTGCCTCTCTTCTGGGTGCTTCCTTTGACATTCCAAAGGACTTGAATCTCCCCCAGTTTAAAACAGGAAAACACCAAGCTGTTTGCGGGCCCCCAGCCACAGTCTTATCTCTCTCTCTCTCCCTCCAAACCCCTTGAACGAGGATCTGTGCTTTGCTCCAAGGGTCCCTTCCTCATCTCCGTTCCACCAAACTGCTCCTGCCAAGACCAGAGTCCTCCTGGCCACTCCCCACAAAGGATATTACCTCCTCAGCCAAGAAGAGAGTTCTCTTCAGCAGCTGACCACGTGGGCCACTCTGTCTTTCTGGAAAACCGCAAGTGTCTCCACTACCCATTTGGACCCACATTCTGTGTGTGTGTGTGTGTGTGTGTGTTAAACTCTACACTCAGGGGTAGGGCTCAGCCTTACAACCTTGAGATCAAGAGTCACATGTTCTGCCGACTGAGCCAGCCAAGTGCCCCAAGATTCCATTTGCTCAAAACAGAACTCTACCCTTTCCCCCCAGCATCTCCCCCTCTGGTGGCCTCCCCAATTTGGAGAATGGTACCTCTGCCACCTGGTCCTTCAAGCTGGAGAGCTGGGTGTCACTGATGCCGCATCCCTCTTTCAACCTACTCCATCACCTCATCCTGGCAAAACCACCTCCTCAATATCCCTGGCACTTGGCCACCTCTTTTCTTCTGCTCTGCCGCTCGACTGGTGTACCAGTACCACTCACCTGGCCCACAGCATCTCCCAGAGACCTGCCCCCCACACTTTCTCCCTAAAAACCATTCTGCCCTCAGCCACTCTTTCTAAATGCCCTGGGTTAACACCCTTCAGGGACTGCGCACTGCCCTCAGTATAGGGCTCAAACCCCTCACAGAGCATCGAGGCCCTGCGTGGCCTATGTGACACTTCTCTGACTCCTCTGACCTCCCCTCTCCTCTAATCTGCTCAAACTGATTTGGACTATGTACAGTTTTCCTGAACACTCCATGCTTTAGGACTGTCCCACATCCTTTTGTTTGTTTGTTTTTTCTCCGCCTGAACTTCTATAGGCCCTCCTGTCTCGGCCTTCAACTAACTTCTTCTGGAAAACCTTCCCCATGTCATGTCTGGGGGACTTACCCTGCCATGGCATCCTCTATAATCCCATTCATTCAGCAAGTATTTATGGAGCACATAGTGCATAAGACAATCTCTGCTTCTAGGGTGCTCGCATTCTGGTGAGGGCACAGGCAGGAAACAAACAAACTGATAAACCAATAGTTTCAAAGAATAGTAGTGCTATGAACAAAATAAAACCAGTTCATAAGAACAGAGAGTAGCTGGGGGCGGGGGGCAACATCGAGGTTATTTCAGGGCACAAGGGGAGCCTGCTCAGGACAGTTCTAGCAGAAGAGTGTTCCACCTGGAGGGGACAGGTTGGGCCAAGATCCTGCGGGGGGAACAAGCAAGGAGGCCAGTGGTTGGAGCCCAGGGAGCAAGGGAGTATGGGAAGAGGTGAGGACCACCCAGGGCCTTAAAGCTGCATCAGGATTTTGGATGTGTTTTAAGTGCAATAGGAGGACCCTTGGGAGTGCCTGGGGGGCTCAGTACGTTGAGTATGCAAGTTTGGCTCCGGTCATGATATCACAGTTCCTGAGTTCGAGTCCCGCATCAGGCTCTGTGCTGACCCCTCGGAGCCTGGACCCTGCTTCAGATTCTGTGTCTCCCTCTCTCTCTCTGCCCCTCCCCCACACACTCTGTCTCTCTCTTAAAAATAAACACTAAAAATTAAAAAAAAAAAAAAAAGGAAGACATTGGAGAGGGTAAGCAGAGAAGTGATGTGATAATGCCTTAAAAAATTGCTCTGGCTGCCACGCAGAGGGTGGGCCAGGGGGGCAAAGAGGGAAGGAGGAGATCACATTCAGAGAGACAGATGACAGTGGGCAGAGAGCAGACGCACTATGGAGGCAGAGCCCCTGCCTTGTGGGATTCCATGCAGGAGACAGAGTGAGGAATCTGGGTGACTCGGGGCTTGCAGCTGGACTGGCTGGTGGGCTAGTTACTCAACGGGGAAGACCTGAAATGAAGCTGGTGGACTGTGACTCGAGGTCTGTCTGGACCTTCTTTCGAGCTGCCTTTTAGACTCCCAGGTGGGAAGATCACATGCCAGGCCCTCCTGGCTGTCAGTTCTGAGGCGGGGACCCGTCCATCTCGTTTACCATTTTATCCCCAGCCCTACAGCAGGGCCAGCCGGACTTAAGGTGGGCTCTCAGTAGAAATATGGTGGGTCACGGACTGAGATGGGCTGATCATGCACCTGTACTTCCACTAATTTTTTTTGCCCCCAGATATAATAACAGGACATACTCTACAGAGGTAATAGCGGGCCAGATCCACAGAAATGCTAAAGCAGTGGTTGTCGGAGCATGGTCCCCAGACCAGCCAGCATCAGCCGCACCTGGACATTGTTACAGATGCAAATTCCTGGCCCCTCCCACACCCACAGAGTCAGAAACTGTGGGAGCGGACGTTAAAGCCACAAGGCTGCCAGGCGGTTTTGATGCGGGCTAAACTTTGAAGCTGCTGTTCTATGGGGCCTATGGCCTCATTCTCGGGGTCATGTAGACTCTATGCCTGGGAAAAAACAAAACGAAACAAAAGATGGTTTGGGCCCTTCTTGCTGAATAGGTCCAGACCACCCTGGGCCAACATTTAACTGGGCTCTGGGCTACCCGGACCCCACCCGGACTCCCAGAATCCTCACACCCATCCCTCAGCCATTGTGGTTCTGGGCAGAGCCAGGTGGTGGCGCCAGCGCCTTAGGCTTCAGTCTGGCTTTGGGAGCTAGAGACCCCGGAAGAATTGTCCCCCTCCCCTGCGCCTTCTTCCCCGCTGGGAGCCTCTGCTCCAAGGCCTGTCCGCTGGCAAAGGCTTTGCAGGATGGCCTTCATGAGGGAGAGGGGCGCTGAGGCTGGCACACCCAAGGTAGGGGCCGACCCCCTCTTCCTGCAGGTTAGGAAGGCGGGCTAGAGAAGCCCCCTTGGTCAGAAAGAACCTAGGGGTGTCTGGCCTGTGGACTTGGGGGTCAGAAGCCCAGGCAGGTGGCTCTGGTCCAGTGGACTCTGGTTACACCCGTGTTAACCCTCTGCCTACCCTGCCCAACCTCATGTGAGGTCTCAGGTGCTTCTTCCCTGCCAATGGGTGGGGGCAGCCTGGGGGAACCCCAGGGCCCAGACAGAGCCTCAAGGTTGGGGGTCCTCACAGCCTGGCAGCCAAGCAAGCTAGGAACAGGGGCCCATGGCAGGGAGGTTGCTTGGATGGAGCTCTTACCAGCTGCCAGCTTCACGTCTCCTGGGTTGGGGGCTCTCTGGGCCCCTGTCCTGCTTTGTGGCCAAAGGAGCCCAGCATCCTGGCCAGAGGAGGGGCCCATGCCCTGCTTCTGGTCCTGGGTGCAGCTCGGTAGACAGGAGTCCAGGAGACCCGCCTGTGCTCCTTCCTAGCTCAGTTCCGAGCCCGGTTCCAAGAGGACCCAGGGCTGAGTGCAGGCTCGACCCCCATCGGCTCCCCTGCCCCTCATCTTTCCTCTTTGAGGGGAGACTGAGACCCCTTGCCCAGCTGGAGTCACTCTGCCCATTCTGCTTAGACCTAGCATACCTTGGCCTCTGCTCCAAGAATCCGCCCACACCCTCTCGTCTCCAGGGGTCCCACCCAACGCCCACACCCACTCCAGAGGACCACCCTCTCCCTCTTGGCCATGCCCTCATCTCCCAGGACCCCAGATGTGGAGCTGTCCTCCTCTGAGGCTCTGCCTCTGTCCTCAGGAAGCTGGGGCTAGGCCAGCTGTTTTCCCCGGGTAGCCAGCTGTTTTGCCCATCAGGAAGCAGCTCTGCGAAAATTGTTGCTGTGGCTGGGGCTGCAGCGTGGCAGCCCCACTGGGCCAGGGCCTGGGAGCTGTTAACTCCTCTGGGCCCAGCCAGCTCCTTCCTACATCCACCACCCCAGCTCCCACCCCGCGGGAGTAGCCTGTTGCAAGACTTCCAGAGACCCCCCCAAGAAGGCCAAGCCTTGCTATGCCCACCCCCGCAACAGCTGCTAACCTGACATCCCCTCCTCTCATCGGAGCCTTGTCCTCAGGTGACCCCAGGTGAGAGGAAGTTTCAAAGGGACAAATTTGTTCAGAATAATAACACTAGTAATAAGAATAATAATAGCTATCATTAACTGCTGTGTGCCAGCCATTGTGCTAAGGCATTATTTAGTTTAATTGTCACCACATCCCTGTGACGTCGGGAATGTTTTCATTTTACAGATGAGGAAACTGAGGCAATGGTCAGTGTAAGTTGCTTGCAGGAGCCCAAGCAGAATTGGCATTTGAAACTGGTCTGCCTGCCGCTATCCGGCCAGTCCTGGTGGTTCTGGAATCGCTGTTGCTGTTGCTATTTAAGTTTCTCCCTGAGCTCCTTGCCTGCCGCACTCCCCCCGAACCCCACCAGGAAAGGTATCTGGGTATCGGTAGCACCATCTGTGAAATGGGATCACTGACGGGCGGAGTTACCACCAGCTCCCGGAGCCATGCCAGGCTCTGTGCTCAATACCTTCCAAGTATTTATTAGTAGATCATTCCTCTGGGTGGCTGCGGGTCAGCCTGGGCTAGAATCCCGGCTTTGCTGTTCTTGGCATCCTGGCTTTGGGCAAGTGACTTTACATCTCAGTGTCACGGTCCAAAACTGGAAAATGGACGTGAGAACAATATTCTGTGTCTTTGATTTTGTTGTGAAAGGATGGTGATAATGCAGGTGAGGTGGTTAGCCCAGCACCCAACCCATAGAGGGGTGGGAAATATCACCCCTTACTGTTGTGACTGCTAACCATAATCTGGAAGGATCTGAGTGGCCCACCTAGCACTGTGCACCCCCACACCCAGTATGGAGCTGGCACATAAGGCTCTGGACCCTGGTCTGTGGAACCTCCCTCCATGGGGACAGCAGGCTGCAAGGGAGATACAACTTGCCCAAGATCACAATTACTGGGGTAAAGCTGTGGGGATCCCAAGGCCTCCTGCACTTAACTCCTGCACCCCTGTGGCCTTCCTTCCTGTGGCCCGAACCTGGTCTGGTGGGAGGGGGAGAAGGGACAAGGGAACAGGGACAATCCCAGGGCTGAGACAGCCCAGAAGGTGACTGGGCCATGGCTGGGTGGGATCTCAGGGTCTGGGAACGACCCCTCAGGATGCAGTGACCCGTGCTCTCCCCCTTTGTCCTCTCCCCCCCTGCCCACCATGGGTCAGCTCCCTGGTCCCAGCCTAGACATCTGGAACTGGGGCAGACAAAGGACCGCGAAGAGGGACAATAACCTTCTGTCCATTTTCAGATGCCGGGCCGGGCCTGGCCAGGGCTGGGGGCCGGAGCCCCGGCGAGGCGGTGCCAGGCCCCCCGCGGGCAGCGGACAATGTTGGCAGTGATGGAGAGGAGGCATTTCAAAGCGTTTTGTTCCCGCTGACCCCCTCCCCTCCACATCTCGCCCCAGCTCGGGGTGAGGCCCCAGCCCCACCCCCAGCCACCCAGGCCCCTGCTCCTGGCGGCTTGGGGACCGGCCACATTCTTGACCTCAGGGGAAAAGTTTAGACTCTTGCGCCCTGGGCAACAATAACAGTGTCACAGAACTGATTTAGGGGGAGCACTTACCATCACAAAGCAGCAGACAAAGAGCCAGGGCTGAGAACGCGACGGCTTCTGCGCCTACTCCTCCAAGCACTGCGACTTCTCTCCTGGGCTCTGCCTGGACCAGACTGGGTGCCAGGGTGCTGGACCCAGGAGGCTCCCCGGAGGAGGGCCTGAGCTGGGGAGGGAGCGAAGGACAAGGGATGGGGATTCCACTGTGGATGGGGGGGGGGGGGGGCTGGGAGCTCCTTCCTGCTCTGCCACCAATTTGCCAGGTGACCCTGAGCAAGTCCTTCCCCATTCTGGGCCTCAGTTTCCCCATCTGTAATGAGGAGACTAAACTATAAGGCCCAAAGCATGAGGCTCTTATCTTACGAACAGACGGATTTCCATGATGATGGTGGTGATAGTGAGAAGTATTCACCACTTTATTCTGGGCATTTCACAGCAGGTGCCAGGCATGGTGATCACTAACCCCTTTCTGGATTTCATTTTTTTTTTTTTTTTTAATGACAGAGACCACTCAGTGACATCCTCTCTCTCCTGCTCTCCCAAAGGAAGAGAAGGACAATTATCGATGGCAAGTGGCAGGTGCAGAAGCAACACCAAACGCTGGTTTCACATCCAGGAGAAAAGGCTGCCTCCTGCTTCTCTTGTGTTTTCTGGGGTTCCAGAAACTGGAGAAACTGAAACTGTCAATGACAGAGGATAGAAATGACCCCTGGAAACAGTCTTTTCATCACTTTTGATCGCTTAATACTCAGCAACCTCATAAAACAGGTGCATCATTAACTCCTGTTTACAGCTGATAGCTGATGCTCAGAGAGGCTGAGCCACTTGTCCAGGGCCACACAGCTTTGAGTCTGTGGAGCTGAGACACCAGGCAGGACTGGCTCACTTCTGATTACACCGCAGTGGGAAGGAGAGGGACAATGAGGCAGCTGGACCCTGGGGAGTTCTGGGTGGGAGGGCCTCTCCTCCCAGGCCAGAAGGCTATGAATAAATAAATGTCTGATTACCCCCAGGGGGGATTCCACCCTTGGAGCAGGTGCTTTTAAAAACGAGATTGATTCTTGTCTGTGAATAGAGGTTGGCCTGGGCAGACACCCAGATGCAGGGGATTGGACGAAATGACCTCTGGTGGAGACCTCCTAAGAATAAGAAGCAGGATAGAACATTTAAGGGCCCCTGGCTCTGGAGCCAGGTTATGGGTTCCAATCCCCACTCTGATTTTTCCTGGTAGCGTGTCCATGGATGAGTTACTTCAACATTCTGTGCCTCGGTTTTCCAACCTGTAAAAGTGAACTCACCTTGTAGGAGTGTGGTGACCATTCGGTGAGGTACATAGAAGTCCTTAGAACAGTGCCTGACTCCGTGAGGGCTGCCTGTTTCTGTTAAGATCCTTGCAGCCAAGTCCCATAGCCAGGGCACCTCAAGGTGGGCACTGCTAGGACCCTGTGGCAGTCAGTCAGCTGTTGACCTTGCTTTCCAGGAAGTGGTTGGATTTTGATTACAGCATGAGGGACTATGGTTAGACACTGCGAGCAAAGGGGACCTGTTCTCGGGATCTCTAAGGCAAAGACCAACCATGGCATTCCAGGGGCAATCAGAGGAGATTGTGATGGGGTGGCCCAGTCCTGGGCATGGTGCCCGGCTTGGGAGAGGACAGGAAAGGGAAGGAAGCCCTGGGAGGTGCTGTTCAGAGTCTGCTCCTCTCCACCCCTGAAATCCAGAGGGACCAAGCCGTACTCGGAAAGTGAAGGAGAGGTGGCCAAGCGTGGTGCCCAGGGTACCACCAGTACTGCCCTCGGGGTGCTAAGGGAGCCTGGTGGGTTTGAGTCCCAGCTCTGCCAACTTGGCTGTGTCACCCAGGATGAGTTGCTGCCCCTCTCTGAGCTCTTTCCAGAATCTTTTAGAATCGAAGTGATCAAAGGAGACCATCACAAGAGCCTCTGTGATTCCACAAGTCTAATCGAAAGATTGGCTTGGAGCCCAGGAGTCCTGCTCCCCAGACTCTAGCCCCTCCTGTCTCTCCATCCTCAGACTTCACCTCCAGCCTCTTCAACCATCCTTCCCTTCAGCTCCCCTCACCCAAGTGCCAGAGACGCACGCAGCACAGAGGGTGGTGAGATGCACCACAGAGGGTGAGGAAAATGTCACAGACTCTTGGGGGGTGGGGGATGGTCCTAGCCTCCCCCTCCCTCACTTTCTGGTCATGGGGCCAGAGGAGAACTCACCTGGGCAGAGCATCTTGGGGTCCCCTCGGCCCGGGAGGCAGATGGCACTGCTGGGGCCGTCTCTGGCACAAAGTGACTTCCCACCCAGTTCCTGCTGCTGAGAAGGGCTGGTCAAGCAGGACTTCAGGTGCCAGACTGCCCTTCCCAGGCACAGATTTTCCTGGCATCTGCCGGGCAGTAAGGGCACTGGCTGGGGGTTGGGCAGTGGCGCAGGGAAAGATTCTGATGAAGGTGTCTCTTGGGGGGCTTGTCCACAGACCCTAAACCCACTTCCTTTCTGGATGCTGTGGGCCAGGGGTCCAGGAAGCCATGGGCTCTCAGGAGCAGGAGAGGGCTGATCGGGAGAGGCTGAGATGAACCTGGGCCCCTGCCCCATCCTACCTCACCCCAAAGAGGCCAGCAGGGCCCAGGCTGAGGTGTTTGCTTTTCCTGTCTCTACACTGACTCCATTCAGAGCAGACTTTCTCCACCCCCCGGCCTGCGGCCAGCAAGCCAAGGCACCAGGGAGAGAGATCACCACCCCCACCCTCCTTCCTTTGCACCCCCCAAATGCCATCTTCACTTCAGGGAAACGGCAGCTTCGAGGGCTTCCTAGTTTTTGAAGGAGGGCACTGCAGAAGTAGGGGGGTTCCCAAAGGAGAAGAGGAACAGAGTACTCTGGAAGGGACTGGTCAAAGAACAAGAAGGGGCTCCTAATGGAGGAGGCCTCAGGCAGAGGTGGGGCGGGAGGGGCACAATATGGGGAGCTACAGGCAGACTGGCCCAGGAGGCAGGAAGCGCCTTTACAGGCTGAGCCAGAGCCTCAGGCCTGGCTCCGTGCCACCAAGGCCTACAAGGCCCGAGGCCGACCCTGAGGCTGGGAGCTCCAGACTCCCACCTGAAACCCCTGGGACAGGGGCCCAGGCCAGGCTGTGACCTGGTCTGGGGCCAGGGGAAGGAGGAGGGTGAAAAGTTTCCCCAAGTCAGAAGGCCACGGGGGAGGCGTCTCAGGGGGTCCTGCTCTTTGCTCTCTCTGACTGTCACGTTGGTACATAAAGAGGGTAGAAAGGTCAGCTGTGGCCTTTCAGGTCTGTGGGAAAAACTCTGCCCACTTCCCTAATGCATATTTATTGGTGTGAGCTGCTGGGGTGGGAGGAAGCCCCCACCCCTGCCCGCCTCCCGGCCAGGCCAGGTTAGCACTAAGAACAGGCTCCATGTCACCGAAATCCTACTCTTTGTCTCCAGATTGGCTCCAGAGTCCTCTCCCTTCCCTCCTCCCCTTGGCTCCCCCCACCCCCCTTTGGGGTTGCCAAGCAACTGTGGAAGGGTAGCTGAGATATTTTCTTTATTACAAGCAAAAGCAAGACAGCATCATGGCCCCAGGAGGGGAGCAGGGTGGGGGCTGGGGAGAGGGCGTCCTGTGCTCCAGGGGGACCTCACTACCTCGGTGCGCTCTGGGCTCGGACAGTGGGGAGACTCAGAGCCCCAGAGAAAGTGGAGGATGGAAGGGGGTGGTGGCAGTGATGGGGATGGGTGGGAGCACAGATCCAGTCTACAGAAATGCTAAAAGAAGCAGTGTCAAGGGGCCCAGGAGAGCCCTCACCTGTCACCCACCAGCTCTACATCCAGGCCAAGTCACTTCCCTTCTCTGGGCCTAAGTTTCCTCCTCGATGAAATGGGGATAATGACACGTATTACTATCTCATTTAATGCTCACATCAACACCAAGAGACATTTATTTTCCCCACTTTTACTGGTTAGGAAACTGCCACTCAGAGACAGGAAGTGACTTGCCAAGCACTTTTAGGTGAATGGCAGGTGAGATCCTTCAGCCCCAGCTCTTTTTTAACGAATTTATTATTATTATTTTTTAAAGTACACATTTTTTAAAAGTTTATGTATTTATTTTGAGAGAGGGAGTGCAAGTGGGGGAGGGACAGAGAGAGAGAGAGAGAGAGAGAGAGAATCCCAGGCAAGCTCCACACTGTCAGCCCAGATCCTGACGCGGGCCTCTAACTCATGAACTCGGAGATCATGACCTTAGCTGAAATCAAGAGTCATACGCTTAACCAACTGAGTCACCCAAGAGCCCCTTTATTTTATTTTTTTAAGCCCCAACATGGGGCTTGAACTCATGACCCCAAGACGAAGAGTTGCATGTTCTGCCCACTGAGCCAGCCAGGCGCTCCCTGCAACTCTTTTTGCTCAAAACAAAGATTTTTTTTTATTCGAGTGTAGTTACACACTGTGACATTAGTTTCAGGTGTACAACATAGTGATTCAATGTCTCTACAGTTACTCTTTGCCCCACAAGTGCAGCTACCATCTGTCACCATACAACAGCACTATCACAGTATCATCAACTATATTCCCTATGTTGTGCCTTTTATTCCCGTGACTTCCTCATTCATAACTGGAAGCCCGTACCTCCCACGTCCCTTCACCCATTTTGCCCTCCCCCCACCCCTCTCTCCTCTGCAGCTTTACTGAGATGTAACTCACACACCATGCAATTGCCCATTTAAAATGTACGCTGTTGGGGCGCCTGGGTGGCTCAGTCAGTTGGGCGTCGGACTTCAGCTCAGGTCATGATCTCATGGTTCGTGGGTTCGGACCCCTAGTTGGGCTCTGTGCTGACAGCTCAGAGCCTGGAGCCTGCTTCAGATTCTGTCTCCCTCTCTCTTTGCCCCTCCCTTGCTCCCTGTCTGTCTCTCTCTCTCTTTCAAAAATAAACGTTAAAATTTTTTTTAATGGAATCAGGCAATAGGTCTCGGTCCAAACTCTTAACTTCCAGTGGCTTCATCCCCACGGCGTACTGGGGTAACAGAGTATCAGGTATCACGGTGGCATGGTTAACAACGTGGGCTTTGCAGTTAGACAGACTTGGGTCGAAGACCTGGTTCTGTCACTCAGTACCTCTGTACCTGGGGGGAGTAGCTTCCCGTCTCTGGGCCTCAGTTTCCTGGTTTGTAAAATGGGGCCAAGTGATGGCAGTTTTCACAAAGCTGTAGCAATCATGAAAAGTGCTTAGCCCAGCACCAGTGCTTAATATATGGTGGCTGTTGGGGCACCTGGGTGGCTCAGTCATTTTGGTTAAGCATCCGACTCTAGATTTCGGTGCAGGTCATGATCTCACCATTCAAGGCCCAGGTCGGGCTCCACACTGACAGCGCTGAGCCTGCTTGGGATTCTCTCTCTCTCTCTCTCTCTCTCTCTCTCTCTCTCTCTCTAAGATAAATAAACTTTAAAAAAATACATATCTATCTATATGTATGTATACATATATATCCCTGCCTGGATAGGGCTCACATTTTAGTGGACAAATAAGACAACAGGTGAAGGAAGAGGATATGTGTGATGGAGACAAGAGATGGGATAAAGCACCCCAGGTGGGTGGAGGTGGCTTTCATTTGGAAAGCTTCCCTGCCCTGTCATCTCCTGGAGAGGAAGTCTTTTTTTTTTTTTAAATTAAAAAAAAAATTTATTCATTTTTGAAAGAGATAGAGCACAAACAGGGGTGGGGCAGAGAGAGAGGGGGACACAGAATCTGAAGCAGGCTCCAGGCTCTGAGCTGTCCGCACAGAGCCCGATGGGGGGCTCCAACTCACAAACCGCAAGATCATGACCTGAGCCGAAGTCGGACGCTCAACCGACTGAGCCACACAGGTGCCCCCCCCCCTTTTTAAAAGTAAGCTCCACGCCCAACGTGGGACTTGAACTCACGACCCTGAGATCAAAAGTCGCGTGGTCTACCGACTGAGCCAGCCAGGAACATCATCTTTTATAAACTGAAACATGCTATGCAAGGCGTGGGGGTTCTTAGGATCCCCTCTGGGTGGGGACGGTGGCCTGGCTTTGTTATTTTCTGAGAATGGGTAAATGTCAGGTTGTCAGCTCATTTATGCAGTCAGGCCACTTGGCCAGCACCATGCCGGAACACTGGCTGCTCTTCCAGAACTCTCTGTATAGGCAGGGCCTGGCCTGGGGAGGCACGCTGAGCAGTGGCAGGGCTCCTTCCTCCATCCTGGGGCCACCCGGAAACCAGGGTGGATCGCAGTATTTGGGGACAGGACTCCAAGGTTGGAAACATCGTGCACAGAGGTGCGGCCCGACTGCCCCGTCGCCAGAGCTGCTCCCTTAGGCACGTGTCTGCCACGCTCCGTGTCCTGGGCCTGCTTCTGAAGCGTGGAGCCCAGGCTGCAGCATGAATCCTTTTCTAGCCCTACTTCAGCGAGCCCACCCACAGCAACATCTCCTGCTCTGCATCTAGAACCTCAGCTGGTTGGCTACATTCATACTCTCAGGCAATCTACTCATTTCATCTCTCAGCCAAGTGTCCCAACAGCTGTTTTCTTATCCATCTGTCTGTCTATCCGCCTATTCATTTAATTATTACTCCAATAACGCATTCATTCCGTCATTCATTCAACAGACATTTACTGAGCATGTCCTTTGTGCTGGGCACAGTGTTTGGTAAAATGATAGTCCTGGGGGATAGGGCATGCCTAATTGGCAGTGTGGACAACTCTGTCACCTCTTTCCTGAGTGCTCGTCTTAATAAGGGAGAAGGCAGAGCAGAGGTTAGGAACAGTTGAATGCATGCATAAGCCCAAACATGTATCTGTGTGTGTGTGTGTGTGTGTGTGTGTGTGTGTGTGTTAGAAGGGAATGATAAAATGGTTGTTTTTTTTTTTTTTTGAAGTTTATTTATATTGAGAGAGAGAATATGTGTGCACACGCGAGCCAGGTAGGGGCAGGAAGAGAGAGAGAGAGAATCCCAAGCAGACACGGGGCTCGATCTCACAAACTGTGAGCTCGTGATCTGAGTCGAAATCAAGAGTCAGATGCTCAACTCACTGAGCCACCCAGGTGCCCTGGCAATGGTAAAATCTTACTGCAAGAAAATACAAGGAGTGTTTGAGTCCTCCCAACACCAGAGCCATCTCTAGGGAGGCTGGACAGGCACAACGGCCCCATCTCACAGAGGCAGTAACTAGAGTTCAGTCTATTGAACTCTACTTGCCCAAGACAATGCTGCCTCTTGCAGAAGACTCCTCACATCCTCCCTGTTGGAATGCATCCCTTGGTCTTCTATAATCCCCAAGAGCTTTGCTAATACTTCCGTGAAGGAGTTTTCCTTTGGCTCTGCTCCTTTCGTGGGGACTGGCTGGCTACTTGTGTGTCTGTCCACTTGTCTACCGGTCGGATACTTTTTTTTTTTTTTCCTTTTTTAAAGAGAGAGACAGAGAGCAAGTGCAAGCAGGGGAGGGGCGGAGAGAGGAGAGAGAGAATCCCAAGCAGGCTCTGTGCTGACAGCACGGAGCCCCACGTGGGGCTCAATCTCAAGAACCATAAAATAATGACTGACGTGAGCCGAGATCAAGTGTCCTGATGCCCCTCGATGGATACTTCTGGAGAGGCAAGAGCAGATGGCCTCAGGCACCGAGTACACCTCAGATACTCACTAAAAGTTATTCATTGCCAGGTGACCTGCCTGAGGTCGCCTGCCTGTCAAGAACACGGTTTGGGACCCTGCTCTGCCATCCCCTAATCTCAGGCCACCACCAGCTGTCACCTGCAAATCAGCAGTAGTAGCTCAATGGGTCTCAGTCATCCAGCTTGCCCCATCGCCCGCCCCACCCCCATTGTCTACACAACAGCCCCAGCAAACCTTTAAAAATGTAAATCTGAACTTGTCAGACCTTCCAGGATCCCCGCTGTGTTTAGGATAAAATCACAAATCCTCCCAATGTCCTACAGGGCCCGCAGGGTCAACCCAGCTTTATCGGGCACTTCCTCTTTCTCTCCGAGCTCCAGCCACGCCGAATTTCTCTCCTTCCCACTCTCCCGGTTCTTTCTTGCTTGTTAGCCTTGGCCGTGCCGTTTCCTCTGCCTGGAACAGTGCTCGCCTCAGCGGCCTGTCGCCTTCACCTAACTCCCCACTCCCCGGGGACTAGGGTCTCCTCCCCTGCTGGTCTGCCTTTGGGGACACTGCCCGTTGCTGAAGCCCTGACCAGCACACAGTAGGCATTCCAGAAATATCTTTTCAATGACTAGCGATAAGACCCTTCTTGGCTCCTCAGTTTCCCTGAGGATGAAGCCAACTGACCCTTCTCTGCCCAGGACGGATGGCTTTAAATAGCTCTGACATACTCCGGAGGTGGAAAATGCTGATTAGATTGTAGAATGTGGTTTTCCGAAGAGGCCTGGGAGTTCTCCGCTCGAGCAGAGACCTCTCTGGCCAGCTCCGTCAAGGTTGTGTTCCTACCAGGCTGGGCTGGGGCTGGGGCTGGATTTTTAAGAAGACTCGGGTGTCTCCTGGGTCTCAGCACTTTGTGTGTGCATGTCCATCAGTCCCCTCGGTATCTCTGCTGAGTCGAGGCTGGAAGTGGCTGGGCACCGAGCTCCACAGCCCTGGGTTCCCGCTCTGGCTCCATCACCTGCCAGCTAGGTGTTACGGACTTCACTGCCGCCAGTCTCAGTTTCTTCATCTGTAAAGTGGGGCTGCTAACTACTTTCTAGGTTGTTGTGAGAAGTCCTTAAAAGTGTTTAGTGCTTGGGGCGCCTGGGTGGCTCAGTCGCTTGGGCGTGCGACTTCGGCTCGGGTCAAGATCTCACAGCTTGTGAGTTCGAGCCCTGCCCTGCGTCAGGCTCTATGCTGACAGCCCAGAGCCTGGAGCCTGCTTCGGATTGTGTCTCCCTCTCTCTCTACCCCTCCCCCGCTCACGTTCTGTCTCTCTCCTTCAAAAATAAATAAACATTAAAAAAAAAAAAAAGGTGTTTAGTGCTTGGCACGGAAAACATTTGTTGTAGCTATTATTATTAGCAGACGGCTCATTCCCAGGAGCTGGGACCTGGTTAGCAGTGCTCCCTCCCTATGAAACCCTGACTTCAAGTGCTACTCCCCAGAAGCCTTATTTTTTCAACTTTTTGTAAGAAACTCCAAGAAGTTTATGCGATTCGTGTTTAAGCCACTGATGGCTTAATGGACATCCAATGATGGGTGGTGGTGGTGGGGGGCACTGTACGAGGCTCCAGAGGCATGAAGATTATTAGTAGGACCCACTTCTTGCCCCAATGAGAACAGACAAACCGATAATCCCAATCCAGTGGGGGGATGTGGTGAGGTGGCCCACAGTCCGTGAGGAAAGGAGAGGATTTCAGGGCAGAGGCAGGGATCCTCTGGGTGTCCGGGGGATGCCGGGGTGGATGGAGGAGGGCAGGATGTACGGGTGGAATGGTCACACACTCCCCACCAGGATGTGCGATTCATTGGGAAAGACAGGCTGAGCTCTGTGGGTGAGAAATTGGTATGTATTCCCCCAGCAGACTGAGAACCTTCTCTGTGCCAGACCTGGCTGGGCCGGGGGTGGGGGGCACATCACACCTAGACAGAGCCCCAGCCCTCCTGAACGGGTGGTGAGCTGTCCAGTGGAAGAGACATGACAAGACAAGCATTAATAGCATCCACACCCCTCTCGCCCTCCCCCTGCTCCCCCCTACCCCCCCTGCCAGAGCTGAGGTATCCAGGAGCCTGCAGGAGGTATCCTGGGAATCAAGTCCTTGTCCTTGGTCTGGGGAGAGGGCAGTCTCCAGATCCCTGGTGGGGGTGTGGTCTCTGGAGGTGGCATCTTCAGCCTGGGGGCTGGGACTGCCTGCCCTCCTCCCTTATCCTTCAGCAGAGCCTTTTAAGGGGGTGACCCTCTGACCTCCAGACTGTTCCCCCTCACCCTCCAGCTAGAAGTCCCTGGGGCAGCAGCTTAAAGAAGGAGGGCTCCAGAGGCCTCAGGTTTAGATGCAGATGGGAGGCCAGGGTTGGGCCTGAAAAGACTCTGGGGTCCCCTAGGCACTCCTGGGGAGCTCAGCCAAGGCCAGGGGCTCTGAGTCAGGTCCATGGGAGTGCAGCCCCGAGATGCGGGTGCCTGGCCCAGGACGAGGGAGGGGGCGATGGGCGAAAGGTTCAGCCGAGGGAGCAGGCGGGGCATTGGGAGTCTAGGACACAGAGTGGGGGTGGGAGGGCGAGGGGTCCGGCCGGTGCAGGGGAGGGGGGCGCCCCCGGGGAGGGGCACGCTATGTCTTTAAGAGCTGCCTGAGCGCAGGTTGCAGCTGCCTGGCCAGCCCGAGAGACAGCGGAGATTCATTACCCGCCGACACAATGACCATTGATGGCCCCGTGGCGTTATTCAAATCCAGTACCAATTGCAGCCGAGCCCCTTTCTCCGCGCCAGGCCCGTATTGTTGGAGCGGCCCACTAAAAGCCCGCCCCGGCCCCGAGCCGCCAGAGGCGCCCGCTCGGGTTCAGCCCTGCGCCTCGCCAGCCCGCCGGCTCCCAGCCCGGCTCCCCGGGCGCTGCAGGTGACCCGGCGGCGCATTCCAGCGCTCCCCGCCGCCCGGGCCACCGCCGCCACCGCTACCGCCGGCGCCCCGGCCGCGACTCAGCCACAGGGAAGCGGAGAGCGCCCGAGCCGGTGCGTGCGCGGGGCTGGGCGGGGGCGGGGACCCCACGAGTCCAGCAGCCCGCACCCCCGGGCTTGGAATCGCGACCCGGCCTCGGGGGCCCCTGCTTTCCGGATTCCCGGCGAGCCTGGGGAGCCCAGGCTGGGGGCGGGGAGAGGAGAGTTGGGGTTCCCCGGGCCTGACAGAGGAGATTCCCCCGACTCAGGGCGGCGCAGAGACCCAACGCGGGCTATTCTAGGGACCCCGGGCCAAGATCGAAGGAGACACACGCCAGGGGCGATGGGGATCCCCACGCAGGGTCGGGATCCGCGTGCTTGCTCGGCCACCTTACCGCGGGATGGGCCGCTGCCGCTGAGCGTCTGCGAGGTAGTGGGAGGCGCAGCTCCGGAGATCTCCTGGTCCGGCGCTTTTAAGAAGCCAAGCGGAACCCCGCACGCAGGAGACTGGGGCCCCGAACTCGGGGGCTTCGCCACTGATTGTCCAAACGCAATTCTTGTACGAGTCTGCGGCCAACCGAGAATTGTGGCTGGACATCTGTGGCTGAGCTCCGGGCGCGACAGGGGCGGGAGCCGCAGGGACAGAGCTCGGCGCGGGCGAGACCCCTCGGGGAGGCGGCTGGCTGGCCCCAGCGCGAGGATCGCGGCCCCGGCCGGGCGCGCAAAGGAGGGACGCCGGTCCCTGCCACCAGCGCCGCCATCCTCATCCTCGTCGTCGTCGTCCTTCTCCTCCTCCTCTGCGGGTGACCAGTCGTGGATGGCGGGGGCCTCCAGTCGATCGCGTCGTTTTCCCCTGTTTCAAATTTCGGCCGGGAACGAAGCTGGCACGCCGCGGCGGAGCACGAATGTGGTCCGGGTAGCCCGCCCTCGGCCCGAGCCGCAGCAAGTCGGGGGCGAAAGAAGATGCCGGCGGAACGCGCTCGCTAATTCGTTTTGAATTGGTTTTAACCTAGCCCCCACCAATACACCCCAGACAAAAAAAGCCTAAACCGACCCCTAAATCCCAAATAAACCGACCCCTCCCGCCAGCCCCTCCAGACGGACCGATGGGCTGAGCCTCCTTTAGCCGCTGCAGGAGTCAGGAGTCGGAGAAGCGTCGGGAATGATGCGCTCCAGCCGGGCAATCGCCTCGGCTTTGGAAACAGAACTTGGACAAACGAATCCTTTTCATTAAAGACAAATCTTCGGAGATAGTGGGGTTTACTTATTTATTTCCTCACAAGTGGGGGTCAGGAGTTGCGGGGGGGGGGCGGGCGGCGGGGAGCAGTTGAGCGTTGCTGGGGCTGAGCCCAGGTCACCTGTTCCTGACCCGATGGGGGCTGAAAAAGACTCGAAATGCTGGAGAGCGCTTGGGCCAGTTTCGGCGGTGCTGCTGGCATTCCTCCCCGCAGGGAACCTGGTTTTCTCAGTGTATCCTCCTGCCCTACTCCTCAGCATTAAATGGGGGTGCCCTGGCAGAAGGGATATCCTGAATCTACTCTCCCTCTTCCCGGTGCAGGCAGGAAAGGAACACTACCGTCCAGTTTCCAGGACTTGGAATCCCAGGTGGGACAATGGGCCATTCCAGTGGGGCTGGAGGCAGGGAGGGACCTCCAGGTTACAGGAATCAGTGAGATTGTAGGGGGGCATTTCAAATCCCTTGCTCTGTTCCCTAACATGGAGATCCTGACCTCAGCACCTTGGGTGGGTTGGTCATACAGCCCTTCCAGACAGCACTTGGACCCCAACACTGGCCTTAACTCACACTCAGACCAGCTCCTACCCATAACCCCAACATGGCTGGCCCCCACCTATGCAACCCAGGAGGTCTCTACCTCCAGAGCACTGGAAAGAAGCCCAGAAGCCAGAGGTCGTGTGTCCCCCTAGGCCTTGAGAATGATGTGCACACACATCACCCCCATCCCCAACGCTGCTGAGACAACCACTTGGCACTTTCATCTCCGAAGAATGAGAGAAATTCCACCTTAAACCACTGACATTTAATAGAAAGCAATGTTTTGGGTGGGATGATGTTAATGCCCTAATTTTTTTTTTTTTTTTTTTTTTTTTTTTTTGAGGTTTCCCTCCAGCAAGGCTTTTCCTCCAGGTCATGGGAAGGGAGGTTCAGCAGTCTTATATGCCACCCCCATTCTGCGTTCTGGGGCTGCAGCTGGTGGGACAAAGCCTAGCCTCAGACAGACAAAGTAGAGAAGTGTCCTGGGACCCAGACAGGTCAGCACAGACTGGCTTTGCCATCCCTGTCTCCAGACGGCCATGTCGGATCACCCCCTCCTAGACAGTCTGTGTAGTCTGGGTTTCAACCCCTGCCCTCTGTTGGGTGAAGGGCAGCTCTGAAAGCCCTTGGCTGGGGCAGAGACTGGACCGGGGACCATGGCTTGGGGGGATGTGGGGTGCCATTGGTTTCTAAGGATGAAGCTCCAGGCAAAGCTAGTAAACAACCTAGTCTTTTATTTGCCCAAGGCCAGCTGTTGCAGACACTGAGGCCCCAAGACTTCCAGAAGGGATGGAGGGAGGAGGGGCAAACCATCCTGCCTACCAGGTGCTGCCTGCCCCCATCCTGCTTCCTGCAGGAGGTGGGAAAGGAGATGAAGTCTGCATTTGTGCCATCGAGTATCAAGCCTGCTTTCAGATACTATAAATACTCAATTGCCACTGAAGAGGAAACTGAGGCACTCTGACTCCCCAGGCCGCTATCTGCCAGTTCAAGCTTTTGCCTGCTCTCTCTCTCCAGAATGGGCTGCAGGCAGCCTTTTGCTGGGGGAGGGTCTCAGGAGCCCATCTGGTGGCCTGTGTGTGTGGGGGAAGGCCAGCCAGGGTCAAGGGCTGGGGCTGGGGGAGCAGGAGGAGGGGTGTGGTTGGAAGAGCAGCTGCTGGGAGGGGGGAGTCAGCACTGAATAGGGGACCCCAGCTGGGGTTCCATAATGATATCAGTGGGGGACAGCCAGAGCCCTCTGCTGTCTGGATGGGGAAACTGAGGCAGAGACTCCTCCCATCTTTGAGAAGGGAGGGGCCTCCTATAAGCTATTCGGGTCCATTCCTCTTCTCCTCGAAGACGCTACAGCCCAGGAGTTGGAGCGTGTCAGTGGTCACTCAGTGTTCAGATTGAGATACAAGGAGTGGGAGGTGGCTGGGTCACCTGGCCACGGAGCCCCCTTCATGTTGTGACCAACCAGAGGGGCACCCTCCCCCACCTCAGCTGCTGGGAAGGTTGGCAGGGCTGAGCCTGCCCACCCCCACTCACGTGCCTGAGAAAGGCTCATTTTTAGCACCTGGCCTCTTTTCCCTGCCTGGAGGGAGCTCGGGGGACAGAGCAGGGAAGAAAGCGGCCAAGGGGGACAGGGAGACCTGGAAGCAGGGCCCCAGGGGATGTCTGATTGTTCTCTTCTCCCCACCCCAAGGGAGCCTGGGCACAGTGCGGGGCCCTCAGCCGCCGTGCAGCGTGGATATGAAGAGGATGTTGTCCTGGTCCTGCAGCTGGTAGTCCAGCTCACCCTGGTCCAGGAGAGAGAGGAGACTGTCAGGGCCCTTCTTCCAGCCTCTCCTCAGCGGTCGGGAGGGAAGGGGGGGGGGCCTGGATGCTTTGGGAGAGAAGGATAAAATCTACCAGAAAAACGGGTGCCCTGACGTTAATTTGCACATCTCCAGGACGGAGGAAAGCACACTTCCCCCAGCTACCCGTTCCTTCCTTCCAGGGACGGGAGACTTGAGTGGCCTCAGGTTGGAGGCCAAGTGGGACAGAGGACTAACCAGCCACCCCCTCTGGGCCTGATGAAAGGCCGAAGGCTGTCCTAGGGAAGCAGTGAGGGGAGGGATATCCCCCAAGGTACTGACCAGCAGTTCCCAGTCGGCATCGTTAACGAGCACCAGAATTCCTGGCCGCCTGTGGGAAAGAGGGAGTGAGGAGCAGGCAGTGAAGGGCAGGAGGCAGGAGGCAGCAGGGGTAGAGAGGCTGAGACACTTGGGCTGGAGGAAGGTGCGGTGGAAGATTTTCCTCCTGAGGTTCTGATCGAAGATCACCCAGGAAGAGGAGGGGACACTCTGAGTCTACGGGAAACCAGGCCAGACAGTCATGGCCTTTGGGATGATATGGAAAACAGGTGCAAATTCCAGCACCACCTCCCAGACCTCAGGCAACTCACTTTGTTTCTCCTGGCATCAGTGTCCTCATCTGAAAATGGCCTAACTCACAGCCTTCCTCCCGGACTGTGCCAGATGAGATGGCATGATGTGTGTCCATCATGGTGACACTGGTAGCAGCATATTTTTCCAGGTGTCTCACCTCACTGTCCCAGGCCTCCCACATGCCTGTGCTGGAGAGGAGACTATCTTGGCTCTTCAGAATCAGGGAGGGCTGCCAGTGGTCTCCAGCACCCACATGCCCAGGAGCGGCCCTGTCTGGTGTAAGGCTGGGTAGGCTGATGTCTGGACAGGTATGGGTCTGGCTCCTGCTGGCAGCAGCCCAAGGAGCGCAACTGTCCTTGGGGGCAGCTTCCGTCACCGCTGGACTGTGACCCGAGCCAGGGGTCTGAATGGCAGCCTTAGCCCCCCAGGGCGTGCTGGTGACCTCTGCTTCAAGGGGATGACTGAGTCCCACAAGCACCTTGCCCACCTCTTTTTCACATTAGGTTGGCCTTCTTATAGAAGCACAGCGACTTCTTGGCACATGGCTCCTTTCCCAGGAGGCCGGGCTAGGCCTTGGACAGGTACGGATGCTTTGGGCTAGGTGTAGGGGTGTCCCCAGTGAGCACAAATGTGCGTGTGTGCGTACTGTGTGCGTCCACGCGTGTGTACACGTGCGCGTACACGTGCGCACACTGACTCCCTGGAATTCTAGACCCGTGCGCTCCAACGCACCTATCTGTGAGCCTCTATTCACATTTCCAGGGCTCAAAAGGCTCATGTGCTTAGCGACTCTACTGGACAGCACAGATACACAGCATTTGCATCATCACAGAAAGTTGTACGGGACGACAGTCCCAAATTGTCGGGGGATGAAAGGGACCTTGCAAGGGCAGCATCTTTTTCTCAGTACTTTCTGTATGGAGAGAATAGCTGAGGCCCAGAGACAAAGGGAGGATAAAGGGAAGAGGACCCCAAGAAGGCTGCAGGGGAACCCAAGGATAGGGGTTCAAACCTCCACTCCCCTCCCCCCAAAACCACCGCCTGCCCTCTTCGGGGAAGGAGGAGGAAGGGACTCACACGCTATCTCCCTGGATGAACAACTCTGGCCGCTCTTTTAGCAAGTTCTTCTTGATCCAGACAAGGAGGTTCCGGATGTCCCCTGGAAAGGAAGGCACAGAACAAACTATTGCCAAACCCCAATGATTTCTGGCCCTCAGAGCCTTGCCTGGATCAGAAGTGGACATGGGATTCTGGGGGCATCTTTTCGACCAGGCTTTCATGGCCCCAGAACTTGTGGATTCCCAAGGTGAGGAAATGGGTTAGGAGGTTGGTGCCCTGCCAGAGAGGTCTTCAGAGAAAGTGGCTCTGCTCAAGACTTAAGGAGGTGACGGGGCCTCAAGACAGAGAGCCGTAGGAACTGTCACATGTGAAAGGGCTGGGAGACAGGCCCCCACAAGTTCCGGAAGATGGTTTGAAGCTGCCACAGATAGGCTTCTGAGAGGGCCCTGAAGAGCCCCCTCCACCTTTCTCTCTCCAGCCAGTCCCAGAAGGGGGGATTCATCTTTGCTCTTGGAGGGGTCTGCATATATTTCCCTTTGTGAGGGAAGAAAAACAATTGCTGAGCCGATAACATCAGTTAATTTCCTCTGGCAGAGGGAGAGAAGGATCCTTCACCCGCCGGAGACGCTGACAAATCACTGCCCCACTGCCCCCACCTTCACAGAGCCCCCCAGGCCGGGGACGGCCACGCTGAAGAGGCAAGAGGTTCAGGATTGAAAGGGCCTTTCCTTCCCAGCTGGACACTGAGATCTGCCACTCTGGTTCTGGGACAGTCACCAAGCTCTTTGCACATCATGTGGAGGCTCAGAGCCATCTGTCCCCTGGGTCACCTCTCCTTTCCTAGGAACAGGGTCCCTGGCCACGGCACACTGAAATCTGGCTCTATAAACTCCTCAAAGCCTATGGCTCTCAAATATCCACACCTCCAACAGACTGTCTCCTAAGGCTGCAGGAGTTCCTTCTCTCCCCGAGACCACCTGAGAACTGAAAGTCCTGGGGAGACAACTGGTCTCTGGGAAATCAGCAGGGGCCTGGGGCTAGCCACCCCTATCCTGACTTAGTCTCTCAGAAGGGTCTGCTGTCCTGAACACATGCCTGAGACAAAGCTCCGGGGTGAAGCTGGAGAAAGGCCCAGGTAGTGCCTTGGTTTCTCTGCCTAGAACGACAGCCTTGGCACACAGGTGAGGGAAAATCGGCTTGGACAAGGAGAAGCTCAGTTCTGCCCCAGTCTAGGCCCAGCAGCATGTCTCGACCCTGGCATCAGCCTTGGACAGGACTTTTAAGGCATTCTCCCTGACCCGCGTGGGAGCCTTCTAGGAGGCAGGCAGGCTGCACCCCGGATGGACCCGGACACTCTGCTCCGTGCCAACTTCCCTGGATCGTATGCCAGCAGAGCACAGGGCCATGGGCAAAGTGTCCAATGTCTGAGGCTGCCGCCTTTCGATTTTAATTCCTGCTTTTACACAAAGCAGATTCGAGTCCTCATGGTCTCTGGAGTGGGCAGGGGATGGGGAGTGCAGCCTCCGACTAGCTGCGGTCCGTTTACACTCTGGCTGGGTTTCTCCCTGAGGCCTGGTTTCAGAGGTTTCCCCTTGGCCTCCATCTTGGCACTGTCTGGTGGGCCGCCAGCCCATACATCTTGCTGCCGCTCGATACAGCCGCCGGGGTCTGACGCATCCATCAGCCAGCCATGGCAGGCGGGGTTGTGCCTGCGTGCGTGGAGGAGCTGAGAGGCACTGGGCAGTGCCTGGCCTGAGGGCCACCAGCTGTACCTCCACAGCCCTGGTTGGCCGGTACAGAACCAGGACCCCGTTGGGTAAAGGCCCGGGCTCCCTCCAAAAGGAGGCGGGGGTGGGGGGGACTCTGCTCCACCCTGGATAGGCTGGGGGGAGGGGAGAGGGCTAGTGGTCATGTCGGGGTCATCCAAGTGAAGGCACCATCATGGAGTCCCAGAGGGGTGGACTGGGGGGTGAGTCCGCTGTCGGTACGGGCTCATTTATCATGATGCTCCTCTTTGCTGAGGTCACTCCCTCCCTCTTCTGTGCCCCCCAGGCCTGCCCACATTCTTGATAGCCTGTTTCCATGGTGAGGCCACCGTATTGTTCCCCCATGCCTGGATTTGGGGGTGGGGAGAGGTGGAACTCACGGCTCCCTTCACAAGGAGGCCTGCAAGGGCCACTCGGCCTGGCCTGAAACACACCCCCAGGGACATCTTGCTAGGCTTGCTGAGGCCCAGACAATATGCAAATAATCTCCAAGCCAGATGGTCGGCTTCCAAAGGCGCCCAGGGGAGGAGGAAGGGTTAAGCAGAGTCAGGGACTGGTGGCTCTGGGGAATCTTCGATCCACCGTCCCCCTCTATGTCCTCCTGCCTTCCCGCTCCCACGGAGGGCGGTTTCCCTCCTGGGATTTGCAAGGCAAATATTTACTGAGCAACTACTATGTGCCAGGTGCTAGGAAGACGGCAATGAGCAAGAAGGACACAGAGCTCGCCCTCATGGAGCTAACAGGCCAGCAGGGGAGACGGCCACCACTTATTCAATCAGTTGTGATAAATGCTATCTCTTTTGTGCAGGTGCAGGAAAACTTTTCTGAGGACGTTCATGTTGATGCTGAGGGCTCATGGATGAGTAGGGCAGGACGGGGAAGCATCCCAGGCAGGAGAAAGAATACACATGAAGACTTAACGGCGGGATGGAATTCGCAGGTTCAAGGTAATAGAACAGAGAAAGCAAGATGATCAGCAGATGAGACCAAAGCAGTAGCCAGGGGCCAGACCATGCAGGGCATGCAGGGGCCTTGAGACAGGTCTTCCCCGGAAGAGGCCTCTCCTTCCTCGTGTACTCCAAGTTTGCTCCATGGGTACAGAACCCACACTGCCTGGGCTGGGGCTCCCTGTTTCTCTGGCTACGCACGTTATCAAGATCCAGCTCAAATTCATGGCATGACCGTTAGGAACCAGAGTGTGTTCTGAGGACCTGGTGTGGCCACAGCACACAGCACACAGCACAGAATCTCACACACAGAACCCGCCTGAGATGTTTGCTGGACATGTGGACGACTATGGAGGGAGAAGAGGTTGGGAACACAGACAGTCCCAGTTCTGAGTTTAAACCCATTACTTCTTGGTCCTATGACCTTGGCCGTGGGATTCTCTGAGCCGCAGCTTCCTTTGGGAAATGGGAGTGGTAAGAACGCCTCACACAGTGGTCATCAGGACTGAATCAGACGACCCATATAAAGTTCCTGGCACGTCAGTGCCGTGACTGTTCTGTGATCCGGAGGAAAAACCCGTACCCTTTGCTCTCTCCCAGTGTCCTGAGCTTCCACAAGCTCTGCTCAGGCCCCTGGCACCCTGGGGATGTGCTCGGACAGTCTCGGGGGTGGAGTACAGTCAAGGACTCATCAGATAATGCTGGGACTGGCTGGGGTTTTCTGTAGGATCCACTGCCATCAAAAGCTGGAAAGGCAATGGGGGAATGGGGTAGGGGGCTGGGAGCAGTGAGGGGACCCCAGACACTGGCCTTCCCTCCACTTTACTATTTAAAAAAAAAAAAATATATATATATATATATATATATATATATATTTTTTTTTTTTTTTAAGTAAACTCTATACACAATGTGGGGCTTGAACTCATGACCCCCAAGGTCAAGAGCTCTACTGACTGAGCCAGCCAGGTGTTCCTTTCCATTTTCGATGTTCAGACCCCTAAGATGCTCCCAGGACAGCCCAGGTGGAAGGAATCACATTCTGAGGCTGTGGAGGCCAGAATGCTGGCATCTGATGGGCACCTAACACAAGGTCTCCAGCAAGGAAGCCTGGCCCGCCCATTTGGGAAACAGCAGTAATGGGAGCTGCTGCTCTGTGGCGGAGTGGTTAAGAGTTGGGGTTCTGGAGCTGGGGGACCCTGAGCTGCTGCTAGATGCCCTGGGAGGACACCAGTTGCAGAGTCAGCCTGACATACGGGGACAGCGATCCAAACCCCAAAGCGCTGCCGTGAGGGTTCAGGCATAAAGGGAGCAGCAGGCTCTGTGGAGCGTCCACCGCACAGGACAATGTCCTCTGGCCACAGCGACTCAGGGCTCCTTATCCCCTTGGCTGCCAGACCCCTCTCCTGCAGGCTGTTGGCAAAGGGGCACCACACACTCCCCTCTTAGCACCTACGGAAGCTTCCACCAGGATTGCTCACCCAGTGGACCTGTCCTTGTCTGCGGACACTGACCACCCACTGTGGCAGCCCCTCCCTGCCACTGGTGTCCATCCTAGCTTCTTGGGCTGAAAGAGAACAATCCCAAGGTCTTATCTGCTCATGAACTCGCCTGCGACAGACCCACATCCAGCCTCTCTTTGATCACCTCCAGGGAGAACCTTGCCCCCAACCAGAAATCTATCTTCCTGACACTCGCACCCAATGAGCCTTGGTTGGTCCACAGGGACCACACCAACAAAAGTGGCCCCTCTTCCACACACCACTCAGTTCTGGGAGAGCCAGACCCCCTAAGTCTTCTCCTCCATAAGGTTAAACCGCTCCAGTTCCCACCAAGTCCACCAGGCTCCAGGCTCTTCTGGGAGCCCACCCCAGGCCTTAGTTGAAAAGGGAGAAGAAAGAGCAGAGATGGGGGGAGTAAAGGAGAAGAGAGGGTAGAGGGAACATCAGAGGGTCTATTTACAAGTGAATGGGGGTAAGAATGGAGCAGTTTGTGGGCTAAACTGGCCTCAGAAGGAGGTTTACAGATGTGCAGGGGACGCTCCTCATTGTTTAATTAAGCAGAAAGTGGATCTTTTCAAAAGCAATTTTGCACAGGGACTGGGAGGGGTTGGGGGAGAGGAGGGCGGTGGGGAGGGGATCAGCAAACAGGCCCCAGAGCAGAGAAAGGAACAGCTGGCCCCAGAGAGGCTGTGAAATGCATGCTAAGCAGTTTAAAGCGCCCGGGAGCTCCCTCCAGCTCCCTGGCCGGGCCACCCTGTAATACAAAGGCAGGGCAGAGGAAGAAGGGCAGGGAAAGGTGAGGCCTAGTGTCTCCTCCTGGGGGCCAGGGCAGGTAAGGCCCACATGGGGACAGTCTGTCTCCCCTGAAGTTTTGGGTTTGCTCCAGCCCACTGACCAACCACGGGCTGGGGGCCTTGCACCGAAGGAACTCTTGATGTATAAAAGCCAGCCCCCAGCAGCCACAATGTCCGAAACTGATGGTGCTACCAACCTCTGCCAATCAAGGCCTGCTCCACAGAGATGGCTGTTAGGAGGTCCCCTCTACGCGCATAACTTCTCACCAACACATCCCGATTCCCAGAATTGTATGCTCAGATCTGGAAGCAACTTTCCCAGACTGTGGATGTCCGATGGATAGCCAGCTCAATAAAGACTAAATCTAACCCAACCTCCCGTTTCACAGATGGGAAAAAAGAGGCCCGTGGAACTAAGTGATCTGCAAACGCGCACTGCCAGGGCTCCTCCTGCAAGCTCACCCCCTTTGGCCTTGCCCATCCTCTTTTCCCAAGTTGGCTCGGTTGGAAGCTCTCCCCTGGCCCAGGACCCAGGGCCCCGGAGTCCCCTTGTTTGTGAGACTTGTCACAATCCATAATCTTATGGTTGCTATTTTCTCTGCTGGAGTCTCCAAGACCTGCTTGGCCAAGTTGCAGCCCCCGGGCTGGGAAGGCTGCCAGTCGACAGTGCTGGGCACGGGCTTGGGGGAAGAGTGAGACTCTGCTGGCGGCACCCGCTGGGCTCCTGTGTGCCAGGGTAATGTCTGGCAGCTGCCAGCCAGCTCCGTGGCTGCGGTGTGACCTATGCCTCTGGGCGCAGCAGGGCAAAAATGGGAACCAGGGGTAAAGATCCACTGCCAAGGGCCCAAAGGTTGAGTAAAGGGGCCATTTCAGTTTCTCTCCCACTTCCTTTTCGGCCATCCCGGAGAGGGGAGGACAGGCCCCATCGGCCCCATAAGCAGTAAATGGAGAATGAGAGATCAAACATCTGCGCTTAGCCCAGTCTCCCTATTTCTGTAACTCTGGACAGGTCTTTCTGTCTCTCTCGGAGATCTGGTTTTCTTGATAGATAATATTTACTATGGTCATTACACAAATCAAAGTAAGTAGCTGTTGAAGGCATGGATGGATGAATGAATGAATGAATGAACAAAAAGTATCAAAACCAGAAAATACACTGCAAGTAGGAGAGGTCATATGGGTCAAGAGAGTTAGTGGCACCACGCAAGGCCCTTGGAGACCCTGAAGTCTGGTTCTAAATCCCAGTTCTGCCACTTAAATAACTGCACGGTGTGGACCTTGATGTCTCGGAGTTTGGGTTTCCAGTTTTTAAAACGGGAATGATAACGGCAGCTACCGCCTAGGAATCTGTGACAATTATTTGCACAACGACAGGGGTGCGCGGTCTACCACGCCAAATTCAGCCTGTGCCCCTCATCACACTGGCCTTTCTTCAGTTCCTGGAGCACCTTGAGGGTTTTTACCAAGAGCTACCCCCTCTACTTGGAACGGCCCTCTGCACCTCTGCTCTCCCTGCCAATTTATGAGGCCAGCTTCTTTCTATCCTTCAGGTCTTCGCCTCAAAGTCACCTCTTTAGAAGCCTGCCCTTACCACCTGCTGGCGTTCAAAGCCCCTGTGTGTTCTCCTCATGCCAGTGCCCACCACCTGGGCAGTTTACATTAGGTGTTTCCCGGTTTGCTGCCTGCCTCCACTTCCATTATGCTCCATTTAGGGCGAGAACCACATCTGTTCTGCTCACCACCGAATACCCAGCAACTAGTACGGTGCCTGATACAAAGGGGGCACTCAAAACTAGATATGCCCACCGCAACCGCGAAGGACTTCTTCCCATCTCTGGCACATGGTAAACACTCAGCCAGCGGATGAATGAAGGGGACTGGAATCACTAAACCTGCCATGCAAATGCAGGGGAAACGAATCCTAACCTGTGAGACTGTACTAACTTCCTGGCCAGGTCTTTAAGGCTGAATCTTTGAGAAGCTTCTGAGAGCCCCTTGTTCCCTCCCAAGGCTGTGTGGCCACCTGTCAAACCAAGGAACAGTCACCTTCATCCTCCCCAGTCTTCCCCCACCAGGGATGCACACGGTCCCCCAATCCCGACATTTAACCCCAGCCTCATGCCCGCCCCCAGCTCAAGGATGGCAGTGTCCTGTTCTTTGGTGGGCGTCCCCCAGCCTCTGAATGTGGCACACAGATCCACCCTGTGCCACTGCTCTCCAACCCAAGGGAGGGTCAGAGACAGCTTGGCAGCCAGTGAATTTGGGGAATTGTCTGATTCCTGGCAGACGTGTGTCCAGTTCCAGAAGAACCCTGTCAAACCTCATGACCATTTCTCGACGGCCCGCTTCCGTGAACCTCATTCCCCTGCCTCCTCATGTGACTGATCTCCCCTCCCCGCAGAGCCATCTCATCCCCAGGTGGAGACGGGTTCCCATTCCTGAGCGCTCTGTTCTGGCGAGGATCCACTGCCAGGGCTGCTGAGCCCCTTCAGGGTTGCGGTGCCCAGGCCCCTGCCTCCAGGCTACCCCAGTATTTACCCAGCTGGACCCCTGTAAGTTACCTCTTTGACCCCCCTCCCCACCCAGTGTGAAGGCAGGGACCGGCTCTTCTTTACATGTCTCCCCAGTGCCTGGCACATGGTCTTCCACACAGGACATGCTCAGTGTACATTTGTTAAAGGAAGAAGATCAAGTACTTAAATGGACCAAAAAAACAAAAAACCCCAACGACCCACTGTCTCCCCCTCAGTCAACCTTCCCCATCACACCTCCTTTCTGGCTAGATACTTTTCTCCTCATCTAAATCCTCTCACCACGTGAGCCCATCCACACGGCTCTATTTTTGCTGAAGGTGACCCCCTTCAGGAGGACGCCTCTCTGCTGCCATCCGGCAACAACAGAGATGCGCGCTACAGCTGTTAGCACGTAGGGATTTCTGTCCCTACCTCACATGTGAGAACACTAATGCTCAGAGAGGTGAGGTGCCTGGCCTAAGGCTCTAGAGAGATTCAAACTTGAGTCTGTCTGAATCCAGAACCTGCATCTGTAAGGACTAAGCTATGCTATCTCCTTCCTACAAAGCTGGCTCATCCCAGAGAGGATGGTGATGCCTCCTCCTCCCTCTCCCCTCTCCCACTGGCCAGGGAAACCCTGCCCCTTCCGCCTGGCACAGGGCTGAGTGACCCCAGGCTCCTGCTCAGCGGCCCTCAGAGTGGGGCTCGGAATGCTCATACTCACAGGGTTCCTCCTGTCCAGGCAAGGTGACCTGATGCTTCTTTATGCCGTCGAACAGGAGCTCTGCGCCGCCTCTGCAAAGGAGGGCCAGAGAAAGACAGCCGGGTGAGCTCCTGCAAATACCTGGTGGAGACTGAAAACCGAAGGGGCTGGCATTAGAAGCCCAAGAGACGCACAGACCAAGGCTCAGGAACAGCTCGGGTACCAGACTGTGATGGATTCTCAAATGTGACTTCCTAATGTGAAGTGGGTGCAGATAGTCTCTACCAATAATCAAGTACCCAAAATTTGCAGACTCTCATTTTTACTCCTCCGCTTTCTCAAGAGGCGGCTTAGCATACAGGTGCAGAGAACAAGCTTTGGAGCTGTCACCCTGAGATGGAGGCCGTGCTCCACCTCTGCCTGATGCCCAGACCTTGGGCATGTGACTCCATGTTCTCAAGCCTCAATCTTTCCATCTACAGAAGTGGTGAGGAGCCAGCATCAGGCACGGTGGAGACCCTGTGTGTTGAGGGGTCTCCTTGGGCCAGGGGAGGGTTCGAAATGCCCCTGCTTGTGCCACTCACTGCTGGGCCCGGTGGGCACACCACAGTGCTGGAGGCTGAGACTCCACTGGGTTTAGCAATAACTTTGCCATTCATAAGAATATTCTTCATCTCATTTCATTCTGAGGGCAGCCCAGGTAAGGAGGAAGGGAGGAAGACATTACTAGTTGCATCTGATGAAGAAGCAGACGGAGGCCCGGAGAGGTTAAGTGACTTGTCCACGGTCACACAGGCAGTGGCTGAAGTGGGATTTGAATTCCAGCTGGTTTCTGCTTAGCCCCAGCAGCCTTGGCAGGAAGAAAACAAGACTCCCCAAAGGTCAGAAAGCCCCTTGAGGGCAGACCTTGGCTCACTTCTATGTGCCAGCACCTGGCCAAGGGGAGGCTGGGACAGCAGAGATGCTCGGAGCCAAGTCCAGAAGCCAGGGGTTTATGATGCGGACACCAGGGCTCTTTCAATGCCCCACAGTGCTTCTTCCCCTGGGTCTCCTGATTCCCATCTCGGACTTCATGTGGATCTTAACTGAGAAGGCCTTAACAGACTTTTGATGGATGTGACGCTTCCCGCTACACCACCCTTTCCCAATTTCGGAGAACAGAGATGTCCTGAGACGGTCCACTGGGAGGCGAAGGCAAGGCAAGCATTGTCATGGGGGAAACATGGGGCGACTGTCATCCAAACAAGGTCACGCTTTGTTGATGCAGAAATGTGGAGGGGGAGAGGAGGCCCATCTGTGGCCGCGCGCAGGGCCATTTCAGCTGCAAGCCTGCACAGAGCCTCCATTTATCCCCTTCCAAGAGCCTCGTTCTCTTCTGGGTGGGGGCTGGCACATGCAGCAGCTGGGGTGGGGGAGGGTGACAGGCAAGGGGCTCAGGAGTTGGGGGTCAGAGAAGAGGGGTGGGAACTGGGGGCACTGGAACCCAGGCAAACAACCAAGAGCGGCCAAACCTGGTGGTGCCAGGCTCAGAGGCCAAGGCTGTTTTTCCCTTTGCAAGCGGGTAAGGGAGAAGCAGTCTGGCTCAGAGTGACCTGTCACCACTGGGTTCACTGGCCTTCAAGGGAGGGGCTGGTGTTTGTGCTGCCAGCACATCTGGAGGGGTGGAAGGTGAACGCCCAGCCCCTGCAGAGATTCGGGAGGCGGGCAAGGGGCCTGTTTTGACCCCAGACGAGAATGAAAGCTAGATTTTCTTATGTCCTATAGGGTTTGCTGTTCAAACTCAGTTAAGGAATTACATCTAAAGACACTTCATCTTTCCCTTCACTCCCCAATTTGTGACAGGAGTGTTTCTTGGTACCAGTGGCTGGTATATACGCTCCTCAAACTGCCCTCACTTTTTCTAGCTTGTCTCTATCTGATCACCCCATGCATTTTTAGTTTTGTCTGCTGGAATGCAAGCTTGGCCTAAAACAGAGCCTGGCACATAGCAGGCACTCAAGAAGTATTTGCTGAATGAATGAAAATGCCCATTTCTCCTCCTTCTCTGGCCTCAATGGCATTGCCTCTCTTTGCCAACACCTACCAGTCTCAGGAGGAAGGATAAGAGGAAAAGGAGACGGAACCTCACATCTGGACCTCAGGGACGCAAAACACATTTCTACCGCATACTTTGAATTTTGTGTGACCTGAGACAATGCTCCGCTAAGGACACTTCAGGTGGCAAGACAAAGGATGGCAGAATTGGTTCCTGACAAGATGAAAGGTATGAGAGGTCGTCTAGAGAGGCTCTCAAAGCAGGTAGGACTGACAGGACGACATCTGGTCAGGGGCTAACCACACACTTCAAGGATCACTGTGGCACTCAGGAACAAAAGGGAGAGAATGATGGGCAAGGTTTCTTTGCAAATCTGCTCAGGTTCAGAGTGAAGGGTGAAGGAAGTCCGCGAAGAAATGGAGAAAATGAAGGAAAAGCCCGGGGCAAAAGCATGCATTGACACAAAGAGACATGGAATCTGGGTTTAAGATACACCTTAGATATTCTTGCTTCCTGAGAAGCTGCAATTCTCATGGGACATTGTGGTGGTGAGCGGAGCTATTCAAAGATGGGTAGACTGGGGGAGAAATGTTGTGGGGCTCACTCTTGCTCTTGCGGGTAAGGGAGGCTAAGGCTAGCGATGTTTAGACTAGAAAAGGGGTAATTAAGCTGGTTTATAAGTTCTCGAAGGCAAGGACCATACTTTCCTTATAGGACTTCCCCACTGCTGCCAGCACAGTACCTGGCAGACGGAAAACATTTCTGATGAACAAAAACCAGGTCTGACTCAGTGACAATGAAAGGTAAGCTGACTGCAGAGAAACCTCGATACCGGTAGTCTGCAGCTTCTCCCTTTTCAGCTCTGCTGGGGCCTGTCAAAGTAGCAGGGATCTTCCTAGAACTTCCATGCTACGGGAGGGCTGGCGTAGGGGGCATAGCCGAGCCAAGGGTCGGTGAAGCAAAATAGTGAGGAGACCAGACCAGCATAGTTCTAATTGGACCCATGGGGCCAGACAATATTGTCAATTAAAATGCAGTTAACATTCATGAGACTACCCCTTCTAAGGGACAGAAACACTGAGCACTGGAGGGCATGGACAGAGTTCTATTTATCTTTGTATCCTCAGTGCCTGGCTCACTGCCTGGCACATGATAGGCACTCAATAATGACTACTGAATGGACTATCCAGTGAAGGGAAAACATGAAAGAAACTGAGGGCATCCAATGGAAGGAAAGGCATTTATGGGTAGAGGTTTTAGATTACCATTTCAGATTTTTCCTTTCATATAAGCCTTGGCTTGTTTACCTTCACACACACACACACACACACACACGTGCACACACACATCTAGTCCCAGCTTTTTCCATGTGACTCGAAATTATACCACCCATCTCTTGGGTCTCAGTTCCTTTGCCTTCCCTCCAAGCTCTGCAGTTTCTCTCAGCTCTGAAATCACACGACAAACTCGTTTGTAGGGGATAGAAGATAGTGGCTTGAGGAGACTTCCTCCCTGATGTGTGTTTCTTCAGCTATTGGGTGTGTGTGTCCCACTCCTGCTCCTCTTGTGTGTAACTGCACTGTCAACTTATTCTCCTCCAATGTGCTATTTATTTATCCCCGTATCTTCGCCTGACTCAAGATCTGCAGAAGGCAATCAGCCAGTTTACTGAAGGACCTGAAAAAGGTTCAGGTCTGTTTAACATCCCCAAATCCTGGGAAAGAGAAGGAGTGCCGCCTTGGCCACACATCCCATGAGAAACAAGGCTCCAGGAACCGTGTAAGCGGAAATTGCTGCCCGAAGAAGAAATCTGGGGGTGAAGGGTAGTCCTTTTCGGTTCTAGGAGCTCAGATGCCAGACAAACGGGACTGGTCCAAAACGAGATTAGTAAACAAGGTAAGGAGGCCGCCTGCTAACGTCATGCCTTTTGAGTCCGGCAGGGCACGGGGCAACTGAGGAGTGCCCAGAGGACACCTCCACGCCCGGGCTTGCGCCTCTATTCCCGGACATACGGTCTCGTCGCCAAGGGAGACCGAGCCTCTCAGACTCTTCGAGGCGGGTGGCGTAGCTCTGGGAAGGCGCCAGGAGCCTCAGCGATTCGGTCGTGACAGGCCCCAAAGCAGAGGGAGGGGAGTTCCGGGCCCGACGACTTCAATCCATCCCCACAGTGGCCCCAGCTCTGTGACTCACCCGAACTCCACCTCCACCGACAAGGGCGCTGCCATGTTGAGGAAGCCGAGCTCACAGGAAATTCCCTTAAACTTCCGGCCCTCCCGCCCACTTCCGGTCGCCACGAGCGGAAGAGGCGGTGCCCAGAGGGTCATCCTCCGCAGCCATTGGAGGAAGGCCGGGAGCTAGGCGGGGAGGTCGCGGGTCTCGTTAGGGGCTCTTGAGTTGGTCACCTACCTTTCTGGGACGGGCCTCAGGGAGCTGAGTGGGCAGCGGTTTGTGCGAGCCACAGCTAGGCGGGGAGCCCGGGCATCTTTGCGTCGTACCTGTGAGCCACGTTACTGCTTATCTTGCAAAAGTTACAAGTCTGTCTTAAGCCCGCACACCGCTTGGGTGAGCCCGTCCATTCGTCTTGACTTGACTTGACTTGAATTATAAGTGACTACAAGTCTTTATTTCCAGCCCAGAAATCTCTCCTGAGCTATTGAGTCGCTATCCGGGCGCTCCTTTGGTTATCGATTTGGGTTTTACTCATTCAGCAGACATTTGCTGCACGTCCTCCGTGTACCAGGCATCTTGGTCAGTGCTACAGGTGCAGTGGTGAACGGGATGAGAAGGGTTCCTGCTTTTAGGGCACTCACAGTGTAGTGGTGGAAGCTAACTGTAATCAGAGAAACAGGTCAATCATACTAATAAATAGAAAATCTCTAACTGAAAGAAGTGACCTGAAGTTATAGGAACTTCAAAAAGAAAACCAATTGGACTGGACACAGCTAAGCAATAAAGCTGAGTAACGTAGGTGGATATGAGGGTGGAGAGAAACCTCTGAAACATTCCAATGAGGAGGACAGAAGATGCAAAGGCCCTGAGTTGGAGACCATGCTGGGACACCAAGAGAGGAAAGTGGAATTTGGGGAGCAGAGGGGCTGGTAAGAGATGATGCTAGGAAGGGGGCAGGGGCCAAATCACACCTTGAGAGCCAGGTAAGAATTTCAGTCTCTATTCTAAGAGCAGTGGGAGGCTTTTGAAAGTTTTGGGGAGGGGAGGACATTAGAACTATACTGTAAAGTACCCTTACTTGCTGGAGTGTGAATGGTTTAAAAAGAACAGGGAAGAAGATGGGAGCCTGTTGCAAAAGGCCAGGGGAGAAGTGGAGTAAAGTAGATATACTGGGGTGTCTAAATCACAACACTTCCAAATTGAACTTAGCATTGGTAGCATGTGGGGGGGTAGTCTGAAGGTCAGTGGTGGAATGATACAATGGTTAAGAGCTGGGAGTTCAGCTGCCAACTTTGTATCCAGTTCCCACCACTTCCTAGATGTTTCTTTGCATTAAGTCCCTTATCATCTTTGTGCCTCAGTTTCCTCATCTGTAAAATGGGGATAGTAACACCCCCTAACTCACAGGGTTGTAGCGAGGACTAAATGAGTTCTTGCCACAGCGCCTCCTTCCCTAAAACAGGCCCTGCCCTGTGTTCCCCATCTCAAGGATACCACTGCCACACTCTGAAACACTTAAGCAAGAAACTTTAGACATTGTTCTTAATTCTGTCCCATATCCAAATAGTCACCAATTTGAGGAGCTCCTGGCTGGCTCAGTCAGTGGACCATGGGACCTTTGATCTCGGGGTTTTGAGTTCAAACCCCATGTTGGGTGTAGAGATTACTTAGATTACTTAAAATCTTAAAAAAAAAAAAAAAAGTCATCAATTTGGATTCCTCTCCTAAAGCTGATTTTGCAACCCCAAAATGTTCCACCGCCACTCCTGGCACCTGGCACCTGTACCTGCTTCTTCTCTGTCTGCCTGCCTCCCACCTCCCTCACTGTGGCCGTGACTTCACTGTAGTTTGACTCCGTGGATAGCCCTGAGCCATTCCAATGTATTAGGCACTGTTCCAGGGCACTGGCGAAGTGAAAACAAGTCAGACACAGCCTGGTCCTCAGAGCACGAAGGAATCCTGTGGTTAATGGAAAGGCCCCATATTCATCATGCTGTGTGGGTTGGTCACTTTCCCTCTCTGGCACTCAGTTTCCCCAATCTGTGAAGAAGGTTGGGAACCAAACGATCTAAGGTCCTTTCAGCAAAAATATTCTAAGATTCTTTCACTAGACCCAACTCTTGCAGGGCAGAAATCTTGTCTGATTCATCTTTGATCCTTAGCTTGCAGTAAGGAGCTTTGTAATTGTAGGGGTTTGGTAAGTGCTTGTTGAGTGAGTAAGTGAACACCTTTCACTCCCCCGCTCAAAGTCATTTAATGGCTTCTCTTTACCAACAAGGTAAAGCCCTTGAGCCTCTGAACTCAGCTCACCTCTTTGAGAATTGAATATCCTCTCACCCCAGGAACTGCCACCTCTTGGGGCTGGAACATGAGAGCTAGGGAGCATTTGAAGGGCTTCATCCGTCTGACAAACATTCACTGAGCACTTTTTAAGTGCCAGGCCCAGAGCTGGTGCTGGAAACACAACAGTGAACAAAACCAACAGGTCTCTGCCCTCCTGGGGCTGTTGCAGGAGACAGAGATGTAAAAATGGACCTCACGGTGTGATCAATGTTATAAAGGGGGAACATGGGGCCCTGTGGGAGCTGGCGGAGCCCCCTAATCCAGCCCTGGGCTCAGAGAAGGCTTCCCAGAAGTCACACAAGCCCAAATCCAAAGGGATGGTGGGAAGGAGATGGCACCTAGGAAGGCCAGAGGAGGCATCTTCCCATATCTCAACAAACGGGTTCCTCCAGCTTCTTACATAGTCCCAGAGATTGGGAGCTCACTTCTGGGTAAGTCAGCCCATTGTGTGAATGCCTGGGTCTCAGAAAGTCCTTCCTTCTGATCGCAAGCCTACCCCACTCAATCTCTTAATTGAGGAACAATATTCCTTAATATATTCCTTAATTAAGGAACAATATTAGTTCCTATTCATATTCATTAAAAGAGCATTTATTGCGGGGCGCCTGGGTGGCTCAGAGGGTTGAGTGTCTGACTCTTGATTTTGGTTCAGGTCACGATCTCATGGTTTGTGAGTTAGAGCCCCAAGTTGGGCCCTGCGCTGACAGGACAGAGTCTGCTTTGGGATTTCTCTCTCTGCCCCTCCCCTGCTCATGATCTCCCTCTCTCACTCTCTAAATAAATAAACTTTAAAAATGTATTTAAAAAAGAGTATTTATTGAATGCCCACCTTCCACCTGCCAGGTGTTTACATGCACTACCTGATTGGCTGCTCACAGAGACTACTATTATCCCCATTTTTCAAATGAGAAAACTGAGGCTCAGAACCAGTGGTTTGCCCATGGCCCCTAAGTGTCTCATGCCCCCTAAGGCCTCAACCCCAGGTTGTAGTGCCTTCAGCATCACTGGCCCTCACTGCCTCCCATTGGGTCAGGCTCACCCAGATGCCCTCCCCTGGGATCTACACAGAAGAGGGGCTTGGGCCCCATCCCCTGTCTCCTCCAGCAGGCCGGCCAGCCCGGGCGGCGGCCTGTATCTCCTCAGAAGCTCCAAGGGAGACAAAGGCGGGGTCTGCAGGGGAGGCGAGGGCGCGGGTGCCCCCCTGCCTGCTGCCCTTTGTCTCCAGCCTGCTCCCCTCATGCGCCCCGGGAGGCTGGGAGGCGCCTCTCGCAGGCTTCCTCCTCCCATTCTTGTGCTAATTGGGTGTCAAGCTGAGATCAGTGAGAAAGAAATCCGCCCCGGCTCGGGTTAAACTGCCGCCAAAGATGAGGGCTGAGCCTGGAATATCATTAGGCTGGGAGGAAGCAGGGCCCCCTCCTCGGTGGGGGGAGGGGCCGGCCGAGCATTCAGGCCCCTTTGAAAGTCACTTGGTCACCCCCTCCCTTGCCGCCACCGCCTAAATGGGCCCCTCGGAGGTATTTAACCTTCTTCCCAGGAATTGAAAGTGATACTCCAAGCACTGGCCCGGTCGGCCACTTGCCTGTCCTGAGGGCGGTAGGACCTCCAGGGATGCTCGAGGCCGGCTCTTTCCAGCCTCTGCCGGCCCCCAGGCACTGTTGCAGATGGGAACACTGAGGCTCCAGGAAGGGGCCTTACCCCCAGAGCTGCCATTCGCAGGCTCTGTGGTCTTTGGAGAGACTTTGCCTCCCTGAGCCTCAGATTCTTCATCTGTGGAATGGGGGTAAAAATAGTAGCTGCTTTTCCTTACGGATTTAACAAACTGATGCACACGTAGCGCACTGCAAATCGCCTGGCACATAGGAAGGGCTCCATACGGTGTGGCCGTTAGCAAGTCGAAGGAAGTGGGTGTGACCCGAGGAGGGATGAGGGACCTCCTAGCAGAGCCCCCACTGTCTGGAAGTGTGCAAGGGAAAGTGCCCACAAAAGACTCATTTTTCATACTTTGCTTCAACCCTACTCCACACCGGATGCGCACTCCCCTGCAGCTTCATTGCTTTCCTAGACCTGCCCTGCAGGCCTTTACAGGTTGCTGCTACTCCTGTCTGGGATGCTCTTCCCACTCCAATTCTTGGAGAACTCTTTCTTGAATAGCCTCTCTGACCGTGAAACACAACTGCCTACCTGGCCAGCGCGCTGGGTTGGGTGCAGCTAACTACCTCACCGGCTGCTTCTTCACTCGCTAGCTCCCTCTCCCCTGTCCCCGGACAGTGGGCTCCCAGGTCTATCTTACCGTGCACCGCTTCTGCCCCTGCCCCCAGCAGGCCTTTAGACTCTGCTCCACAGATGAACTTAACGCGGTACTTTGTAAACCATGAAACAGCATAGAAACGTCAGGAAATGCCCAATAAACAGTAGCTATCGTTAAATTCACAAGCACATATTGAGAAGCTACTGTGCGCATAACTCACAGAGCCATGGTTGAGGATGACCAGAGGCAGACGGGAGAGCTCCCAAGGCCCTTCACTGGGGCGGGGGGTGAGGGGGGTGCAGAGGGGGAAGCAGTGTGGAAGTGGTAAACTCGGGCCTAGTCTGGGGTCCTGATACCTGTATATATATATATCCTTTTTCATTTTTTACCCCGTAACTGCTGTGTACTGAGCAGGTATTGGCACCAGACCCAGAGTTAAGAGACCTCCAGGCACAATGCATTTTCACAACTACCCTAAATCTCTGTTTGCAGAAGAACCTGAGGCTTAGCCTGGCAAATGGACTTGAGCACCTGCCCTTTTGAGCTGGAGGTTGTTAACCCAACCACCGCTCCATACTGCCTTTCGGTGACTGCGTTCAATCTCCAGGAAGGAATAAGGGCCCCTGGGTGGGTGGCAGCGCTATCCCATTGGAAAGTACTCACTACTAAGGGTTAGATACAAAGCTGTCAGCCAGGACCAGCCCATGGAAGTCCGACTCTGGGCCCTCAAAGACGGAGTGCTCTGGGCTGGGTACCAGCCTGGGGATGAGGCAGCCCCTCCTTTCTGCTTTTGGAGGCTGAGAAGGGCCAAGAAGGACTTCTCCAAGCTCTGCATGCCCTCTGCTGGTCACACTGGGACACTGCAGCCATGCCTACCACTCCCTCCTAACCCCCCTCAACACCATTCTCCAAGGGCCCTACTCCAGCTCTGCCCCCCATTTTCCCCTGAGCAGCATCAGATTCCTCTTTCAAAGTCACTCCCCCAGGAGGCACCCCGGATCTCACCCTGGCCCCCCTCCACCCTGGCTGCCAGCTGCAGGTCTAGGGCGGGGCCCACAGTTGGCTCCACAGGCATTCGTGGAATGGAAGCTCTGTTGGTTTTCCCGTTGCCTTCTGCACCAGCAGGCGGGTGGGGCAGCAGGAAGCAAGAGGGGCTTGGGTTTGCCTTCCAGCGCCCTGCCTCCACTGCTGTGTGACCTCAGCAAATGACAGACCGTGGTGAGGGTTAAACAGTGAAGATGAAGCCCCAGGGGCACACATTGCCCACTGCCCTGGGGTGAGTTGGACCCATTTCCCAATGGGCCACCCGTTTCCAGCCTGGGTGTGACTCCAGTGATGGGGCCCAGGAGACAGCTGGCTCTCCACTGGCGCTGCTGATTGCTGCAGCTCTGGTAACACCACTCCAGGAAGCTTTTTCCTGGACTCTGCCCCAGCTGGTCAGGCAGTCCTGCTCTGGCTTTTGCACAGCCACTGAACCCCTGGAGAAATGCACCCCAGGCAAGGCGAACAGCACAAGTGAGGGTCTGGAGATGGGATCCCATCCTGGGTTAGAGTTTTCTCCCTCAAAGGCTCTGAACAGCCCTTTCCTCAAAATGGGTCCCTTTGTTCTCTGAAATCCTCCTGATTACTCCCCTTTCACAGAAGAGGAGACTGAGTCACTTGCCCTAGGCCACGAACTCAGAAGTGACACGGCTGGTTTGGACTTTCAAGCTCACACTATTAAATACTTTGCCAACTCACTGAAGGCATCTTAACCGCTATATCCCTAAGTCGGAGTGAGTGAGTGGGCCGGAGGGGCAGGAGGTGGGGCCTGAGCAGGTAGGGTGAGCTCAGGTGGCACGCACACAGGCTAGGGGGAGTCAAGGCAGTTTATTGGCCCCTGAGTGACCCCCTCTACCCCTGCTCCTCTCATAACCGGCCCAGGACTGAGATGGAGAAAGTGACACAGACAGACCTACAAAGAGAAAGGTCCCACCTGAGGGGCAGCCAGGCAGCCACCGAGGAGAAGGATGGTGGCGGGGCGGGGCGGGGGGCTCAGTCCAGACTGCCTGCTGCAGGTCAGGGTGGTCCTCCTACCCTCCCTGAGGCGCAGGCAGTGCTGAGCGACACTGGAACAGCTCCAGGGCTAGGATCCTCTTCGGCCACCTGATCAACAGCCACTGCAGCCCCTGCCCACTCTGCTGGCTTCCTGAGTCTGGGGGCTTCTGCCCTGGTCCCATTTACAAGCTCCCGGCTTTTGGGGGAGTGCTTGGCGACCCTCCACCTGGCCCTGCCCTGACCCAAGACGTCCTCCTGAGGCACCCAGTCCATCTTAGCCTGGGGCCTAGAGGCCCCACCTGGCCTCGAAGACGTAATGCGGACATGAGGCTTTCACAGAAAGCCCTCTTGGGGGGGCAGGGGGAGGTGGCAGTGAGTCACTTGGCAGTTTTGATGGGGAGGGGGTCAGCACCTCGGGGCGGAGGTGCTGGGCCCTGCTTGCTTTGGTCTGGCATCGCCCATGACCCCTCTGGGGTGGGAGCTGGGGCTCTGGATCCTGCACCCACTGGCCCTTAGAGGGACTCAGGGGCAAATCACAGCTTCTCCTCGCCTGCCTGGATGCGGGCGTAGGCCTCTTGGTCCAGCGGGATGTAGCGGCCCTTCCGGGTATCCAAGTAGAACAGTGGGTCTCTCACAACTGATGGGTCAAAGCCTTCCTTCCGCAGCTCTGTCTTCTGTAGCTTGAAGGTCCCTGAGGGAGCAATGGGGATGGATCAGAGGGTGCAGGGCAGGGGCCTGGGCCTCAGGAAGCTGCCCACCAAAGTTGAAGAGGGACAGAGAAGGAAGGCTGGAGAGAACACGGGAAAGCGGCCTAGAGCACGGTAGGGCCAAGCCCTTTACAGTTTGCAAAGGAGGCTCCAGTTAATTACATTATATCCTGCTTTTCAGAGCAGCCCTGGTGAAGGGGTGGGGGTGGGGGGCTGCATTACCCGTCTTCTTTTTGCAAATGGGGAAACTGACAACCAAAGAAGGGAAACTATCCATCTAAGGCCACACACACTGAGTGACAGCAGAGTGAGGACCGGAACTCAGATCTGGGCTTTGAGCACCTCCCAGGGAAGGGCATGATCTAATTTAATCTGCACATCAACCCCAGAGGCAGGTGCTCAACACTCTTCTATGGATTCTACGATGCATGTCATTTTCAGCTTTTAACATATCTGAAGTCGTTTCAACAGGCAGCAATGTTTTCTCAGCACTCGTAATGTAAATTCCCCATCTCTCTTCAGGGGCATCACCCCTACAGGGCAGGAGAGACTGGCGCAGTGAGACACGCCCCCGGGGCCAACATCACACAGCTCATCAACGCTGGAACTGGGATTTGAATCCAGGTATGTATGACAAATTGCCCGATTCCTTCCCTCCCTGGACGCGTACTCCACCACCCTGTGGCTTGGCCATGTCTCCCAGCAAGAGCTGGAGTCTTTTTCCATCCCCCACCTGAACCCAGACTGGCCTTGTGACTTGCTTAACCAACAGAACATTCGAGTGCTGGGTCTAGGCCTCGAGGGGCTTTGCAGCTTCTACTCCCTCCCTCCTGGCAGTGCCTGACACCGGTGTGGTCTCTGAAGGCTGGGAAACGACGCAGAACAGAGGGGAAACATCCCAGGAAAGCCCCCTGGGCTGGCACTATCCAGTAGGAGAGCCACTGGCCATACGAGACCACACACATTTAATTAAAATTAAGCAAAATGTCAAATTCAGTTCCTCAGTCATACCGGCCCCATTTAAAAAAGCGCTCAGTAGCTACGCAGGGCTAGTGGCTGCCGTGCCGGTCAGCGCAGGTAGAGAACATCATCATCCTCACACACAGGTCTGTTGGCCAGCGCTGCAGAACCAACCGGCCGGGAGCCAGACGGGTGGGTAAGGACATCATCCTGGCCCCTCCAGCCCCAGCTGAGTCACAAGCGATGGCAGCTCTTCCACTCCAGGGGGGGCCAGCAGAAGAACTGCTCAGCTGAACTTGACCCCAAATAGCTGACCCACCACTGAGAGCAAAAACATGACTGTTTTATGCCCTAAAGTAAGTTTTGGGGTGTTTGTGCTGTAGCAAACCCTCTGAAACCTGAGGGCTGACAGCTTCCCTGCCTCTCCTGCACAGAGAAGTCAGCTGTCACCCAAAACTCAGGAGCTCTCAGGCTCAGTCATACACTGTTTCAGGTGCTCCTAGGGGCCTACTACCTGGCAGGGGCCACCTCGGTCGGGGCAGGCCTTCCAGCAGGGCAGGGCTTGACATGATGAGCGTATGGGAGGTGGCCTGAGGCTGAGCAGGGGGAGAGTCCGGACAGGGCAACAAGCACTAAGGCAAGCTGGGGGCAGGACTGGGCAGGACCCCCAGACTTCCTGCCCATCAGGGGACCCGTCAGTGGTCCAACAGACAGAGGCTGGCACTGCCCTGCTATGTGACCGTGGACCCACCACTCACTTCTCGCCTGGACAACAGCAAGAGCCCCTCACTCGTCTCCCCACTCCCCTGGAGCTGTCTGCAGCCCTCTCCTGCACTCCACATGGCATCCAGAGGACTGTGTGGAACATGCACCTGACATAGGTCACTGCTCTACTCAGACACTTCTGTGGCTCCCTACTGCCTGGACATAGTCCAGGCCCCTCCCCAGCCCACAGAGTATTCTGGTCTCCACTGACCTCTCTGCCCCACCTGACATCACTGCCTGCCCCCACCCCCCCTCCCTTGGCTCCAGCTTTGGGGGCCTCCTTTCCTTCCTCTCTTGGCCAAGTGCCGTCCTGTCTCAGGACCTGCCTGGAATGCCTCCCACCCCACAAACCCCGCCCTTTCATTCAGGTCTCAGCTCAAACATCACTTCCTCAGGGGGGCCTCCCAGGCACCCCACCCCCATTCATTTGCTTTTCTGTCAGTTTGATCTGTATTCTGTCCTTTACATTTGGAATTCCGTGTCCTCTGCTGCCTCCCCTACCGCTGAACAGGCTTCAAGAAGGCAAAGGTCCCATCAGAATTTGTTACCTATATCCCCAAAGGCCTAGCACAGAGCCTGGCAGGCACATAGTAGGTACGCAGTAAACATTCGTCCCGCTAACGGACGTATGAACCTTCTCTCTCTGAAGGCTCAGTCCATTCACTTGTACACAGGGAGGTCTGCTTACCAACGACACAGCAATGCTGTGGGTAAAGGTCAAATGACAGCCGCCCGGGTCTCTCCAAAAGGAACCAAGAAGGGGCACAGGCCTGGGGCCTGTAAGCTGGAGCAGGGGAGGGGACATACCCGTTTTGTGCAGCTCAGGCAGGAAGCGCAGGAAGATGGGGCGGGCATACAGGGGCAGCTCCTTCTCCAGCAGCTGTGCAAAATGCTCCAGGTCACAGCTGCCAGCAGGGTTGGCCACCGCAGCCATTCCAGCCCGGCCCTCGGTTCCTGGAGGCAGCAGCACGGACCGTGAGGAGCTGGCTGTGCCCCCTGGGGGTGCCTCCCACCCACACCTGGCAGCTCCCACCAGCCCACAGATACCTGGCACCCCGACACCATACACTGCCACGTCGGCCATGTCCAGCAGGCGGCTGAGTGTGCCCTCTACCTCGGTGGTGGACACATTCTCGCCTTTCCAGCGGAACGTGTCTCCCGTGCGGTCTCGGAAGTACAGATAGCCCAGCTCGTCCATCACCAGCACGTCACCTAGGGGGGCGCTGTGTGAGGCAGGGCTGGGGCCGGCAGGCCTCACCGGACCCCGGGATCTGCTGGACAGGGACGGCTGGGACTGGGGTGTCCTGGGGCAGGTGTTCTCTGCAGGTGGGCGAGGGCCCCTTCATTCCTCTCCACCCTGCCCACCCCAAAGGGGCTGGTGCCCACCCACCGGTGAGGTAGGCCTGGTCTCCCTTTTGGAAGACGTCCTTGGCAATCTTCTTATTGTTGGCACCCTGGTTGAGGTAGCCGTCAAAGCGCCGCAGGGGATCCTGCTGGATGATGCGGCCCACTAGCTGGCCTGGCTCACCTGGGTGCAGGGAAGGGTTAGGGTTAGGCCTCCTCCACCACCAGTCCCCCCCTCCCCCCCGCAATGTGCCCTGCATCTTGATTTGACTTCTGTTCACACTGCTTCCCACAGAAACGCTGCCCTGCTCCGGTGCGGGAGCCCGGAGGGCAGGGAGCTTCTCTGGGCGGGTCTGCGGCACATGGGCACTCAGTAATGTCTGAGTAACGCCTGTGAGATGGAAAGATGAACGATACGAAAGGGTGGCCAAGCGCTATGGGGACAGCCTGACCGGGGCCAGCACTCCTTGGGCCCCTGGCTCTGTTCAGAGAGCGGTCCGTTCTTTACCATACGTGACCCCCGGGGCAGCCGCAGGAGGCAGCGCCGCCATCAGCCTCACTGGCAGATGAGGGGACTTGGGCACAGAGCTAAGGGGCTGAGCCAGGATCAATCCCAGCGTCCTCCACACGACAGTGAGTTAATTGACTGATGGGTAGAGAGGACAAGGAATGGAGGGACAGACGGATGAAGAAAGAGGACTCGTAGCTCTAAGAGAAGAGCTGAGTGACAGCCACTGGTCAGAATAAGGGCTTCCCACTCACCCATCCCAGTCCCATCTCCCAGGCCAACCTCCCCTGCTCTGCCCACACTTCCAGCCCCGGGGCAGACCTGGCTGGCAGGGAAGGCAGAGGCCATTGGGCCCCCGGATCAGTTCCATGGTGTCCTCGTTGACTCGCACCAGCCGGATGGGGTACACAAAGGACAGGATGCGGCTGTTGAAGCCACATGCCCCCACCTGCAAAGGCCAAGACTTGGACCTGGGCTCTCCCGCCACAGGCCTGAGACTAGGCAGTGTTGGGGGGCCTGGCCCTCACACTCCCATGACTGCCTTGCCCTAACCGGACAGCGGAGGCTCTGGTGCCCGCCACCCTCTGTGCTGGACCCTGCCCGCCCTAACCAGACAGTGGAGGCTCTGGTGCCCACCACACTCCACACTGGACCCTGCCCGCCCTCCACCGCCCCACTGCCCACCTGGCTGTCGAAGTTGCCCACACTGCAGTTACACTCGGTGGCCCCGTAGAACTCGGCCACCTGGGGGATGTGGAAGCGGCTAGAAAAGTCGGTCCAGATGGACTGGCGGAGGCCGTTGCCGAGTGCCATGCGCACCTGGTGCTGGTGCTCCGCCTCCCGGGGCGGCTGGTTCAGGAGGTACCGGCACAACTCGCCGATGTACTGCACAATCTGTGGGTGGACCTGGAGTGAGGCTGGCCCGTGGCTGCTCTCACTTCACCTCCCAATCCTGTAGGCCCCGGGCCTCAGCCTCCCCATCCGAACAGTGGGAATGTTGCCCCCAGTGAACAACTGGCCTTAGCTGTAAGACTGACGTCCCCGAGTGGGGCTGCTCGGTCACAAGGGGACAGGGACGGCTCATCCCCTGCCCTCCTCACTCACTGTGCAGTTGTACTTAATACAATCGTCCCAGAACCGGGAGGCTGAGAACTTCTTCCGGATCACCACCGTCATGCCATGGAGCAGGCACTGCCCGATTCCCACAATGTTTCCTGAAGGCGAAGGGATGGGCCATGGAGGTCTGGGAGCCAGGAGACCCCTCCCTCCAGAGCCTCCTCTTGTCCAGCCCGTCTCCTCAAAGGCCCTTCCCCCAGTCCCTCTTTCCTGTCCTGTTCCTCCAGCACTAATCATACCTCTCCCCTAGTCTTCCATGGCTCCCCAGTACCTCCCCAGTGTGGGATCAAGTGCATACTCCTTAGACTGTTCCCTGGGACCTCTGGAGCTGGCCCCAAGCTCCTGCTCCTGTACCTGTAATGCTGCCATTCATCCAGGGGGGAACAAGCTAGCCCACCTGGCTTCTGCACCTCACATCTGCCTGACTTGAATGCATCTCCTCCAGGAAGCTTTCCTGGCCATCACTGGGCTCTTCTCTTGAGCTGAGCTCCTGCTCCCTGCCTGTCTCCGCACTCACCATGTCATTTCCTGAATTAAAGTCAGGTTGGGGTTCCATCCTTCATCCTGCCTTAAATACACATCTGACTCTAAGCACCTTGAGGGCAGGAACTATATTTATTCCATCTCTGTCTTCCCTAAAGCTCCTAAGACCAAGCAGCAAGTGTGTGCACACCCATGAAAATGAACAGACTAACCCAGGTGTCCTGTGTGTTGCGGACACACAAGCTGTGAGGTTCACGTTGCTGTCTTCATTCAGAGGTCCAGTCAATGGCTACCTCTGAATTTTAACCCAGATTTGACTCCAAAGCTCATGTGTTTCTACCACAAGATGCTGCCTGCTGAGGGGGTTGGGGGGGCTCCTGAGGCCTGGGGTGCCAGAGACTGAGAGGAAGGGCCCAGTACTACCTGCTGAGTGGTAGAGGGGCAGGCAGTCATAGACAACGTCGTCCGGCCGCATTCGGAATCCGTAGTACACCAGGGCAGCCATGCGGTAATACCTGGAGGGCACAGAGTGTTCGGTGGGCCCTGGAAAGGAGGAAGAGAGGCCCCTGGGTCCCACCACTCCCAGTCCTCCCCCCAGGAGCCTTGCCCCTTACCTGCTGTGCACCACAATGGCGGCTTTGGGCATCCCTGTGGTGCCTGATGTGTAGATGTAGAAGAGCTTATCTAAAGAAAACAGACACATAAATGGCTTTGAGAAGGGACAGCACAGGGCTGGGGAGGCATTATCTGCAGGAAGGACAGTGCCCAGGGAACTTCTGTACCACAGACCACTTCTCCATCCCACCCTGTAGCCCAGGTCAGGGGCTGTCACATTAGTTTCCCCACTGGGCTGGGGGTTCTAGGTCAGGAACGCTGTGGGACAGCTGCACGCTGTGTGTCAACCATCTCATGCCCTCTGGATGCCTGCTGATGCCAAGGGCTGGACACCATGAGGACACCAGGCTGACCCAGACAGACACCCTGTCTTCAAGTAGCTTACAAAAGCACCGGGAGACAAAATCCACGTATGACAGAGATGAAATGACCGCAATGACAAGGACCGGTTACTGAGCACTTCTTGTCACACCCTAGTTTTCCACTGTTATCTTTTACAATCTTCAAAGCCACTCCATAAAATAGGTTCCATTACCACCCCTGATTTTATAGCTGTGGGAACCGAGGCTCAGAGGGCAGCTCAGGTGCTCCGGGACACGAGGGAAGCAGAGGGGCTGCTGAATGTGCTCAGCACCAGCTCTCGCCCTCTGGGTGGCGCAGCAAGCTGGGGGTTCCATAGGGCAGGGTGGAGCACAGAGGAGAGGCTACAGGGTCAGACGGCTGCCTGGAGGAGGGGATGGGCAGGCAGGACAGTCTAGGGCAGGGAGAGGATCGCAGGCTGACAGGGGCCGGCACCAAACAGGTGCTGGGTGAATATTTAGAGGGTCTTGCCCCCGGTCCAACCCCAGCCGAAATTCAGACCCAGCAGTTTCTTGGGCTCCACGTGATCTTGCACATTTGGGCAGCGATGAAGGCTCGTTCAACAAGTCCAAGAATCAGGTTTTGTGAGCTCCCGAGTGCTTGGCACCGTGCCTGGCATCTTCAGCTCATTTAACCTTCAGAGTGACCCATAGTAACTGTGCCCATCTTCCCAGATGGAAAAAGGTAGGTGATATGACTCACTCCAGGTCACATGACAAGTCTGCAGGAGTATGCAGGCCTCCCGCCCTGAGGTCAGCGCTCTGTCCTGGGCCCCTCTGAGAACCCCTCTGTGGGGCAGGGGACTCACCTGTGAAGCCCTTGTCAGGGCTACTGGGCAGGTGCTTGGGGGCATCTTCCAGCAGGGGGTCCAGGTGCTCTGTGCCGACGGGCACCGTGCCGGGCTCCCAGGGGCCGGAGCAGAAGAGGCTGAGCGAAGGGTCCAGGCTGGCATGGATTTCAAAGATGGCTGTGGGGAAGACAGGGCTGATCAGGGGGCAGGCCAGGGACCCCATGTCCTCAGGACCTCTGCTTGTGTCAAGGCTGGCATGTCATCAGGGGAGACTGGCTGTGTGTGGGGGGCACGATGGTGAAGCACCAGCCTCATTGTAAGAAAGATGCTGACAAGAGCAACGGCTCCCTAGCTGCTACGGAGCTACACGGCGGGCTCCTTCCGTGTGCTCTCCTGCTCACACAGCCCAGGTACCAACGGCAGCCCATTGCGTAGATGAGGAGACGAGGCTCCCAGGACGGCAGGGCCTGCTCACAGCTAGAATGACCAGCTGTACCGCACACCAAGGTCTGTGTCTTTACGCACTGTGCCACGCTCGTGTGTGGTTGGAAAGGAGGCATGGAGGGTCAGAGGGTGGGAACCTTCTCTCAGGCTCCCCTGTGCACTACCACGGTCCAGGTGCTCACCCGCACCAGGCACAGGCCAGTCCCGGCCCCCTCAGCCCCACTTCCTCGGCCTCCCTTTACATTTGTCCAACCCTCTCCCCTCTCCCTGCTGCATCGTTCCTCTCCCGTTCTGCATTTCAGTCACCTTCCCTGGCCGTCCTCCCGCACCATAGCCATGCGGGACAGGGGACACTGGTCAAGCCCAAGATGAAATCCTGCCTCTGTGTGACCTTAGATGATCTCCTCACACCACTCGGAACCTCTGTCTCCTCATCTGTAAAGCCGAGACAGCCATCCCTACTTCAACAGGCTTTGTGAAGATTAGAGCTGCTTATTAAATTTTTTTTAACGTTTATTTATATTTGAGAGAGAGAAACAGAGCACCAGCAGGGAGGGGGAGAAAGGAAGGCACAGATTCTGAAGCAGGCTCCGGGATCTGAACTGTCAGCACAGAGCCCGGCGCGGGGCTCGAACTCACGAACTGAGATCATGACCTCAGCTGAAGTTGGACGCTCAACCGACTAAGCCACCCAGGCACCCCTAGAGCTGCCTATTAAAGCACCAAGCTCAGTCTTGGTCAGCGCTCCACACCGCGGCAAGTAACATAAACTCTGCCAGACAGCAGAAAAGAGATTGTTTCCATTTTATAGATGAAGCAAATGAGGCCTAATTACTCATAAGAATGGTTACCATCATAGCTGAGGGCTCACCTAGCATCAGCTACTTTGTTAGTGCTGCAGGCAAAGTATCTTCTTAAAAACAGTTATGTGGTAGGTAGGACAGTGAGAAAACAGAGACACAGACATTTCCAGTCTCTTCCTCAGGATCTCCAGCTTACCAGTGGCAGAGGCCAGGCCATCGGACACCAAGGCTCATGCCCTTAACCTCTGAACCACATAGCCTCCCTCAGGCCCAGAAGGGGGCTGTAGTCTGTGCCAGATGCTGTGGGACTCCCTGCCTGACCCCACACCCCAGGGGCTCACCTGGAGCCATCTCACTGCCAAAGATGAGGACCTTGGCCTGGGAAGTGGTCAGGCAGTGGCGCAGGGCGTCCCGCCGCAGGTTGGTGTTGATGAGTGCTGCCTCCACACCCAGCTTGGCCATGCCCAGCCATAGGCCCACGAACTCATTGCAGTTCTCCATGAAGAGGGCAGCCACGTCGCCCGAGGCCAGGCCCTGAGCCTGTAGGAAGTTGGCCACGCTGCTTGAGTAGTCATCCAGCTGGCGGAAGGTCCAATGTGTGTCTGTGCCCTCAAAGATCAAGGCTGTTTTGTCAGGGTGGCGCCGGACCGTGGAGGCAAACAAAATGGGCACTGTCCGCCGCTCCTGCAGGTACCGCCGGACCTTTGCCTTCACCTTCAGGAGCACTATGCCGCCGCTAGGTGGGAGCAAGCAAGGGAGCTGTGACCGCTGGGGTTGGGAGCAGGGTTCCCGACACCCTGGCCCAGGCTGCTGTCCCACGGGCCTGAGGCTCCTGAGCCCGATCACTTGCGACACTCCCGTTTCCCAGCACCTGTGTGCTGGGCACCATTACAGGCACCAGCCCACTGATGCCTCACAATAACACCAGGGACCCCGGGGGGTGACTCCCTCCTCAGTACAAGGGAGAAAGCGAGGCCCTGCAGCACCACGGCTCGCCCAGGCTGCGACAAGCTAAGATCACAATCTCAGTCCTCTCTGGCTCCAGAGTGTAACACCCAGGACCCTTGAAGCTCTTCTTGGAATCTAGTGTTCTGTCAGAGTCTTCCAAGATTCTGGGGCCCAAGTCAAAGTCCCAGCCCATCTGGGACCTCCCACAGCCCTGTACTGCAACCTCTCCAGACCACTCTCACAGTAAATAAAGGATAAGTTTGTGATTTGTTCGGTCTCCCTCCCTGTGAGCCCAGCAGGGGCTCCATCCTGCTTACCCCCTGAGACCCCCCTGGGTCTCACTCAGTACCGGGCACAGAGCTTCACTAGGTGATGTGGAGTCACTTGGCAATATCCCCTTTTCCTGCCTGCCCCTGCCACTTCTGACCCCTGAACCCTCCTAGCTCCCTGACTTCTATGCCTATTCTGTTGTATAAGTACCACGTGCTAACCAATTGCGCCACTGGAGCTCCACTCTTCGATGCCTGCTCCCATCACCTGGATGAGCCTTTTAACTATAGCTCTTTGTCCTCCAGGCTTCCCTGATTCCCCAAGGCTTATGCCTAAAGCCCTCTCTCCCTGCTCCATACTCTCACAGCTCTCTGCTACCACCCCTCCTGCAGTGGCCACTTGATACCTCCTTTTGCAGTCAATTCAGATGAGCGAGCTGCCTGTTCTGAGTGTGCGTCACTGTGCCGAGCACTGGGACACCACTGTGAGCAAGATGGCCAGGGTCTCTGCCCACACAACATTGTGAGTTTAGGGATTTACTGTATCACCTTCTCATCTCCCTGACCAGACTGAGCCGGGCCCAGGACTAGGTCTCCCTTGTTCCTCCCTGGGTCCCAGAGCCAGCCCGATGCCTCGCACAGAGCAGGTAGAAGTGGGTGTTTCTGGCACAGGATGGCCCTGTAGACCCTACCTGACTTTCTTTGGGGAGCAGGTTCCTCCACGCATCTGTTTCAGGGCCCTGCTCTGACCTCTGTGCCCTCTTAGACTCATGCCAACCCAAGGTACAGGGTCCTTCCCACAGGGTTCCTCTTCATCATCTCACTAATTAAAACATGTCCTCAGGACTCTTTGTAGATGTCTTCTCAACACACCTGGCATTCAGTGCATGTCCTGGGCCCCTAAGTCTGCCCTAGGCTAAACAGCATCAAGTTAGGGAGATGCCCTAGGAGAAGACTTTCATCTTGGAAGATGGAGATACCAGGTACTACTGCTGGGGGAAGGAGGTAGAGCAGAGGTTCTTCCTCTGGGGCCCAGGTGCCCTGGTCTGGTCTGGAGAAATCTGGGGAATTAGGGAGACCCCAAGATGGGCTGGACCAAATACTCACAAGACATCACGCCTTATGGTCTTGATGAAGATTCGGACAAAGCGCCAGCCTCCAGATCCCAGGTAGAGGAACAGCAGGGAGAACCCCACTTGAGTCCAAGGCAATTTCAGCACCAGCTTGGAGAACAGCAACACCCCCACCAGAGACGCCCCGAGCAGCATTGCGGCCTGTGGGCACAGAGCAGTCAGTGGAGCCAAATGTCTATGTCCCCTACCTCCTGGCCTAGGCAGCTACTATGATCCTAAGGGTCAACCTGTAGTGAGGTGAGGCTTAGCCATACTGAGTAGGCAGCTGAGGATGGGGTCCCTTTCCACAGCTGTCTTGAAACAGGCTAGAAGCACGGGACTAGAGATGAGTAATTCCATGGCTGAGATGCAGAGGCTAGATTCTAGCCCCTTAGTCCTCCTACGACTCTTCCAGTGACCTTGGGTAAGTTCCTTTCCTACTTTAGGCCTTAGTCTCCCCCTCTGTGCTATGGTGTAAGTGAGAATTGCTCTTGGAAGCCCTTCCAGCCAAAACAGGACAGTCTACCCTCCTGACATCTAGGATCTTGAACCAAAATGTCTTGGAGGGGGTATTAACTTAAGCGTCTCTGGCTTGACTCCTCATCCAAATACTCAAGGATGGGTCTTTGGGTCTCTGGATAACCAGGCCAAGCCACAACACCCAAAGGGGAAAGCTCCCCGGAAAGGGGCCTGGCGGAGTCTCTGCCCACAAACTCGCAGGGTGCCATGTTTCTGCTGGCCCACAGAGGGCGACAGAGCAAACAGGTTAGAGCCTGGAGGTGCCTGAGAGATGACCGCCTAGAGGGGAAAGGTGATTGAGGGAGCACAAGAGGGCACTGAAGGCACCCCCTTACAAACACACTCAGCAAGCCATTTACATGCATCTTTAGGGATTGGGCTATAGGGGAAGGGGAACAGCTGACTGGACTGAGATTAGGAGTCTTGGGCTCTTCTCCTGGAGCCTTAGGGACTTGCTCAAGAGGAAGCAGATGGGACTGCGTTTTCTTGCAGGGTTCTCCGATTCGTGGGTGGGGGCTGAAGGTCACGGCTGTGATGTAGCCTGAGAGTCTCCAAACCAGTATGAGGACACGGTCTGGACCACAGGGAGCCCTTACATGCCATCTCCCCCTTCTCCACGGGAAAATCAAAAGCCGGGAGGGAGACCAAACCAGCACTCCTAAATCCAATGCCAAGGTCTCTAACATCCTCAGACCTCCCAGAACCGGCCAGGGCAGAGAACAGGAACCCATCCTGGATGGCTGGGGGATGGGACGAGAAGGGAAAGGGATGCCGAGATACCTCGCGCCCCCGTCCCTAAGGAGCCAGGGCAGCAGAGCGCCCGGCAAGGAGACACAACAGCAGGGCGCGTCCCTCATCCCAGCCGGCCGCGCCACCTCCCCAAGACTCAGCCGGGCACATTCCCCGCCCGGGGACCCACTGGCCTGGCTTTTGCTCACCCAGCGTCGGCCCCGCCGCGCGGTGCCCCGTCCAGATGCGGCCTGGCTGCGGCAGCGGAGTGGGGAACGCTGGGGGCATCAGCCGCCCCTGGGCGCGCAGAGCCGAGTCTCAGCAGAGCTTTGCCGGCTCTGCGCCCTGCATGGCCCGGCCGCCCGGCCAGCCCCGCCTGCCGCCCGGCCCCGCCCGCCCGCGGCGCTCCTCCCCCGCCCGCCTCCTGCAACCCCAAACCGGC